ATGGGAAAGAAGTAGGGCTCCAGAGTCAGTTTCAGAGTTCCGGGAGCCCAGAGCAGAGGTCAGGATTGTATGGATATGACACCATCACCTATTGGACATGATTTTATGTTGGAATTACTTTTCTCTGTGCATGGAAGTGAACCACCTGCTGGAGTGACTAGCGTTAGCATGAACGTTCCAAGTAATATGTCATCGGGAACGGTATCATAGTGCTTAAAGGAAAAAACTCTCTTCGTCTGTGGTGGTAGCTTTGTGTTGGGGTGTGGCGATGGGGAAAAAGGAATTTTGGGAAGTGGGTAGATGAGGTTATGGATGGTATTTGTCTTGGTGGACATTTTGTAGCTGCTATGGTGCAAAGGGCTATGGATGTGTTGGTCCTTAAGGTTTGGGTTAGTAGTCCATATAAGGTTCCCAGAATGGGTATCTTCAGGAAGGGTTTAAAATGCATTACTGTACATGCACAACCAACTACCTGTCATGCATCACACTGGTCTGGCCAATTTGACCATCATGTCATGCATCATGCTGGGCAAAGGGTTGAGTGACTGGTGTCATGCAACACATTGCTGGTGGCATGGTGGCTATGCAAATGTATTTTTTCGAGTACATACTTAGATTAGAAACGAAAAATTGCCAATTCCTCATCCAAATTGCGTGCCCATCTGACTTGCATTCCATGGCCAAGGTCACAGCTCTGAAAGTTAGATGTAGGAGGGACTACAGTGGTCCCATCTATCTGAGTCATGCCCCCAACCAGTTGGGTGTCACACATCAAAATGAGGTGCCAGTTCATCATTTTGTGTCACACTCAGGACCCTGCCGGTTGTTGGTCATGCGGGTACAGTACTTGTGCCTGAATACGAGCCATTCACTACCAGCAGTCCTCCAGGAGCGTTATTGGGAGGAAACTAATTATTCAGCAAAGAAAATGTTAGAATTCTTGGTATCATGGCATATGCTGAAAGAGGGCTAGCAGCTCTCTATGCTGACTAAGCTCATGGGGCCAAACTCTCCAAAAACTCTACTCTCTCTCTTGACTTCCCTATACTCTTGATCCTCAAACTCCATGTGGGTTCTCCGGGATTTCCGCAAGGTCTGGGCTCAGTGTCCACTGCTCACTTGTTGTGAGCTAGATCACTGCCCTTATTCCTACTGTTGGAATTCCACTCACTCACTCCAACTCTAGCATGTCCTAGCACCTTAGAGAATTTGGGAGAGGGGAGAACTTCTTTTCAAAAATCCAGTATGTACAGGATATTATTTTTAGAAATAATTGAGGGTAAATATTGGTACCATATGGCACCTGGGTACCTTATTAGGCGAAATAATAAAAAGGGTAACAGTGACAATAAAAGAATATCAATCAATAACTGAAATGATGGCAAATATAAGAAAATAAGCGATATCTTGATGGATTTAGAGAATTAAAAACCGAAATTGAAAATGCAGCTGGAGATAACTCTCACACAGCCAATGAGCATTTTTACCAATTTATTAGATGCCATGGGAATGAGTGAGGCTGGAATTCTGGGTTGCCGCTTGAGATTCCCACGCCTGCACATGCTCATGACCTGCCATGCCTAACTTGCCCAGCATAGAACTCCATCAATTCTCCACCGATTGGGACGTTTGTGATATCGTCGGAATCGTACGAATTAACACTATTTTTAGGTACCAAATCCATACCAAGTCATCGCAGGAATAGAAGTGGTTTTCTAATTGTGGAAGTGGGTATCTGAGCCAGCTCTGCATGTGGGTGATTATCCCGCTTACAACGCTATGACCAACTCATGTTTGGTGATGCATCAGGAAACCCCTAAGGCCGATTGAAGTGGTTGAGAGCAATTCAATCACTCAATCTGCCCAATCTGCCCAATCGACTACTCTCAATCATCTCAATCACGACAACCACACACGGATATGTCCATGTGTGTGTGAGTCCATCGTTTGCATCCAGGTGCTGTACAGTTTCAAATGAATGGGTTTGTGTGAGAGAACTAGTGTAGGATTAGTGCTCAGCTCATGAGAGTAGAACTGAAATAATATTGGTGTACCTAGTGTAGGATTAGCGCTAAGTAGAATACACAACAGTCTTTAGTAAGAGTAGTTGCACAAGAAAGGTAGACCTCACCTCAGTTCACAAGAGTAGAACTGAGGGAAACAAAAGAGGTTGTGTCCAGTGGCTTTTAAGCCTACTGTGACATTGATCTCATCAGCAAAAAATTGTTATGCTCCTGAGTGCTCCAGAGTATGGAGAGCACTGGGAAAATCAGGAGGAGATTGTCAGGGAACACCTGCCTGACCTGGCCCCACCTGACCCAGTACCCCAGTACCCACTCCTCCCTTCCCCGTGTCTCAGTTGTTTCTTTGTCTGTGGCCTGTTTGTGGGTGTACTTCTCTATACAAACCGTTGTATGGGCTTTGGTTTGCAACCCCCATTTCTTGTTGTTACCTTTCCTGGTCTTTCTCTTCTTACCGGGGGCCCAAGCGACTTCAATGGATTTCAGTGTTCTCGTGGCTAATGTGAACGGATTGGGAAACGCTTTCAAGCTCCATCTCATTACGTCCCTCATCACATCCACTCTTCCTCACTTTCGTTCTATCTGAGACCAAATAAACGACACCATCTATGCCCTTGTTGAGCCTTCCCAACTAAATGGTATATGAGAGTCCAGCTTTGCCACTAGCCCAGTGATGTGGGAAATGGGGTCTAGCTTTGGGAGTGAGGAAAAACTTCCAAGTTTTGCATCATCTCTCTGTCCCTCCAGTTTTACAGGGCAGGGTAGTTGCTCTCGACGTTATCCTAGCCTCCTCCTCTCTAGCCCCCAAGGTCCTACGGCTTTTGGGAATATATGCCCCTTGTAATGCCGCACAGGAATCCCTCCGTTCTTTCTGGTCTGAAATTTGGAGCCTCATATCGCAAGAACCATTCCCTCACCTGTGGATGGCTGCTGGGGATTTCAATGTGACCATGGCCCTGAGGGAACGGTCATCAGGTGCTCTTTCACCAGAGGCTCTGATCTACCAAGATTTCCTCACGGCTTCAGACGCTCTCAATTTATGGTCTCTGAAGCACGATGTGGATGTCAACTCAGATTACACGCTTAGGTCTTATGCGAATGGGGCCAAGTCAGTAGTGGATAGAGCAGTGATCTCATCCTCTCCAATCTTCTCCGCATCCATCCAGACCCAGCGGGATTTCCTGGGTGCCACAGATCACCGTGCCATTCACATCTCCGCTCACATACTTGGCTCAGAAGGCCCTTCTCTTGTGCCTTTCTTACCTCAGTGTTCCCTTCCACCTCCGCGTCTGCTCTATCCTTACCTGTCCAGCTCTACTAAAGCGAAATTTGATGATTTTGCTGGCAGGGTGGACCGTGAAATAGCGGACCAAGGGCTCCTCACTCATGAGATTGTGTCCCTAGATGAGTTCGAGTTTGTCTATTGTGCTCTCTCAAAAATTCTACTCTCAGCAGGGGATGATGTATTTGGTCGTCGAAGAGCTTTTTCACCTCAATTACAGCCTCCTACAATCTCCTCCCGAGATTAGACAAGTCAACTATTGCATTTGCACTGTTGGTGGTTTGTTGTTCCGACTTCGCCAAGGTCCTCTGCCTTCTGTTCACTTTCTCCCTTTGCGACTGTGCCCAGAGTTCTTGCATATTCCCTCTTCGATGGACCGTGAACATGCCATTGTTTTCCTCCACCAATGTCAGGAATATCTATTCAAGGAGCGATATTCCCTTTCAAACAAACTGGCTCATGAATGCGCTTCATTGGCACACCGTTGAAAGGTGCTTGCCATTCTTAGAGGCTGCTCAGCGAAGTCTCTCATGCCATATGAGTTGGCAGCTGACTTGCCCTTGGTGGTAGAGGATCCTGACACACATCAGTTAGTATCAGGAGAGGAGGCAGTGAAGGATGCAACCATTCGCTACTTTACCAATCTCTATCATCATCCTCCTACCCCAGAGGACAACAAACCTTGGCTCGATTGCTCCCCAGTTTGCACACTGAGAGATCAGGTCCTACACTCTCCTTTCATATGGCCCTGCTGTGTCTCCTTACCTGAGCTTCGTTCGCTCCTCCGTCGGGGTAACCCTCACCCAGCCCCAGGCCCAGATGGATGGGAGAAGTGGTGTGTTAAGGCACTGTCAGACTCCACATTATCCCTGGTGCAATCCCTCCTAAATTTCCAAATCACTCATTCCTTCATTCCAGCTTTTCTCAGGGATACAGTCCTGGTTATGCTTCACAAACAGGGGCTCACTACACAGCTCCAGAATAAGCAAGGAATCATGTTCTCAAATCTTCTTGCCAATCTTCCTTTTGCCTGGCTGAGCTTACAATTAAATTTGTACAATGTCAAGGTTCAGCTCATTCCTGAAACTCAAGTTGCAACTCAGCAGGGTGTTCAGGGTAGAGACATGACCAGCTTCCTTGCCCAAGTTGAGGCCTGGTCCAACTGTACATCTACACCCCTCTTTATTCTGAAGCATGACCAACAGAAGGGTTTCGATTTCCTTTCCCCCACGGGTTTTCATGATGCCATCCTAGCCTACAGGCTGCCTGAGAGCATAATCAATCTAGACCAGTCATCCCAGCTCAATGTTTGCTGCTCTCTTCGCACCGCTTATGGCGATACTCCGCCAATCATCATTAACGGGGTAACAAAACAGGGTGGCTCACTATCTCCTTTCAAGTTGGCCCTTACAACTAGTCTAGGTCATCGTTGGTTGTCAGAGGAGCACGGGGTCAAGATTTCGTCTATTAAGGCATGCAATGCTGACCCCCATCGTCATGCTGATTCATTGTCTATTAGAATCTCTATGGTGGAGGTGATGGATGACTCCCTCCTTTTTGCATCTTCCATCTCTTCCATCCGCTCAATGTGTCTACTTATGGAATGTTTCCAACTGGCTTATGGTTGGTTAATGGCTTGGGAAAAATCAGAGGTTGTTGTGCTCAATTCGAGTTCCTTCAAGGCCGATTCCATCTCTATGCCAACAATTTCACTTTCTTGCCCTTCATCTCCTCTAGTCCCAATGGTCCAGGTCCCAGTTCGTTGTGATCATATTCATTTCCTCTGTGTATCCATCAATGACCCAAACTCACAGTTCAATCATTTATCATCTTTGATTTCATCTTTTATCATTCCGAAATCCTATCAATGTTTCCCTATCACAGTGATCCAGAAAATTGTTAATCAACTATTGATATCAAAAGTTCAAGCTCATTTGGCCTTGCATCCAGTGTCCCCATCGCATGCCTCATCCCTTCAGTCACAAATCATGTCTCTCGTCCACTCTTATCTTCCTTTCCCATTTTCCCCTTCCACTCAAGTGCTTTCTCTCCCCTCGAATCACTATGGCTTCGGTTTCACGTCCATTCCACATCTCAATGCTTCTCTTGCTCTGGCTGGACTACTCCATGATTTGAACCACCATCTTCTGATTTTCAGACATATGTCTCTCATATCTTTGGCAGATTGGGAGTGTTCTGTTCTGCCTTGTATTTTCCCTTTTGATTCAGTTGGCTTACGTTTGTCTTTTCTCCGTCATCGGTGTTCTTTACCTTTTCTTTTTACTGTGGCTCATGACTGTCTCCACCAACTTGACCTCCACATCCGACACATGGACCAGTCCGATATCTTGGATGGTCGTGTATCACTTTCCCACCTGGCTAAGAAGTCATCACAGGCACCGCATTCATCGATTGTTCGTTGCTATTGAGGGACATCTCATGCTTTCCTTGGGGCTTGGGGATCTTGGAGTCATCCACCTGTGCAGAATTGTTCCCCTCCCTCTTTTGGCGCTTCCCTTCCTAACCCATTCCAGTTCCCTTTGCCACAGTTCTACAATTATCGGGTTATGTGCCATTGGCTCGGACTTTTGTCATTGTCTGACTTGGTGTCAGGTCCGGTCTCTCTCTCCCTGCCTACTCAAGAACGACAACTCCTTGCAGAGAACAGTATTGTGGCCTCAGCTAGATTGGAAGCATTGTTGGATCCTGTTATGTGGGCAACAGATGGTTCCTGTCGAGAGGTTGCAGGTTCAATAACATCTGCGGTGGTTGGGCCTCATCCTGTGTCCTTGAGAATTGTTGGGGTCAATGCTTCCAGCATTCAGGGGGAGGTTCTGGCTCTCATCTCTGCTGGCCTGCTCATTTCAGCACTTGGTGTTGGGCCTTTGCATGTTTACTCAGATCATCTACAATCTGTTTGGCTCATGGAGGATATTCGTTCACACTCTCTCCCTCCAAACTTCTGGGCATACAAGAATGCATGTTTGTATTACCATTGGTTCAAGGACATTTTGACTCGGCTAAACGGCATTCATTTCGATCATGTTAAAGCTCACACTCAGGCCATGGACATGCCCTCAGTCTTAAACTGCGCTGCTGATCATGCTGCTTCTCTTGCACACTCTCATCCTTCAATCGTTCCGTTGGCTCCATTGCCAACTTTCACCATGGATGCTTTTTCTCTTTGGCGTCCTTTCCTGGGTTTTATCGAGAATAATGTGTTATCCTTTGCATCTTCTCAGTGGTCTGAGAAGTCAGCAAGGCACTTATTCTGGACTTCACACCAGTGAATGCCTGGTTTTCAGGCAATGACGAGCCCTTCTTTCCCATTTGAACAAACGAGTGCGGGTTTTTCAGCATGTGTTCAACTGTATGCCCATTTGGGGCAGCTTCCAACTCACACTCTTCTGCATACAAGAGGGTTGGTTGCATCAGCACAGTGTAGATTGGGTTGCATTTCCGCAGAGTCCATGCACCATTTGTTTTCCGAATGCCCAGTGTCCCGAACTTTTTGCATGTCCACGGTGTCAGGGCTCTGTTCTAGAACCAAGGAGTTACTGGAAGACAAAGCTTCCAAGGCATTGCAAAGGGCAATCATCGACTTCATTCCAGTTTTGTTTTCCCCTCAGTGTTCTTCTCACGACTCTCATTTTTGGCCTCATGGAGCGAATTTGTGGTATTTAGGACACATCCCTTTCATCCATCGTCGCTTTCCGGCTTTGTCCTCGCATTGCGCATCCACTATGGGACATGTGTGGCATTCCGGGTTCATTCATTTGGCAGGGAGAATTTGGGTTTTTGGGTTTGGGGGAGATGGTTAAGGGCCGTTGAAAGTTAGGAAAGTAGTTAAGAAATTGGTCGGAGTGTGTTGGTTTTCACTATGTTTTCTATGCATTGTTATGGACCAATGAGGTCGGCTTGTATGTCTTACCTTAGCTGCTTTGTAGCGGAGTTGGCCAAATTTATTTGTTTATTTGTTTAGTCAGGGGGGGTTCCGATACCTTCTTAGATATCAAATCACATTTTCAGAGCATGCTCCCAATGCTCCTGGAATCCCTTGTATATATATAGACACTTCATACAGTCCCAACCTTCTTGGATATTAGATCACATTGTCAGAGCATGCTCTCGGAATTGTCAAAAACCCGAGTTCGAAAGGGGGTAAATGCATGAGTCCGAATGCAGGTGGGGCTCAACTAGAGGGGGGTCCGAGGGCTCCAGTAGTGAACCGAAGCTTCTCAGGGAGCCCGGTCCTGCTGGGTGGTACAAGAGGCTCTAAGAAGGACACGGCCTCAGCGACTCGGAGGGAGCGCTGTGCCTCTGTTACGTCTCAGTTAGTCCTTGTATTTCTTATGTCTGAGGTATCTTGTAGAACAGGAACAGGATTCACTCAGAGGGACTTTGGATGGCATTACAGGTATTTATAAAGGAGAATGGGGAGGACTTAGTCAAAGTCCGAAATGACAAATGGGACAACACTGAAAGGTGCCAAATGATACCGAGAGGTACCGAAAGGTCCTGAACGATATTTTAAATGGGGAACCAAGGTGTCGGGCCAAGGAGGGCGGAGTTGGAGGCCGTAAAATGAATGGGGAAGACAAATGGGTAAAGGGGGTTAGCTGACTGAATGGTAGTAAGAAGGTAGTCGTGCTAAGAATGGAAGGTGACTAATAAGTGATAATGTGAGGGAGATCACCAAAGGATGCGGGTAGCTCCGAAAGCGGAGTTGCGTATCCGAAGGATGTTAGGTGACTCAAATAAATGAAATGGGTGGAGGAATGGTTCAAGGGCATGTCATGGGATGTCGGAGGTCCGTCGGGATATTGGAGCAAATCCGGGCTCTCTGAATGTTCCGACTCAGGACCGAGCTTCCAGGATGGGAGTGGCCAAGGTTCGGTGTGCCGCAACCAGACCGGAGCTGAGACAGTCAGGAGGGAAGGTGACTTGGGGAGTGGGGAGGCATGGTGTAGGGGATGGTGAAGTTGTTAGGAAGGTGTGGTGTGGTGGGAGCGCGCGGGGTCGGGATTCCGGGATATGACAGGAATCCCTTGTATATATATAGATGCGAAATCACGTTTTGTGGACAGATAATGAATTGATTTCCTATGTTGGATACTCACGCTTCTCACGACCTCAACATCGCGTCTGTGCACACAACCGCACAACTGCACAACCTCAACTCTCAAGTGTCATCACCACTTTGACTTCCAGTTATATACATACTGTATACACTGCACGCACATCACATGTTCAATGCACTAATAAACTGTACAGCATCTAACAGCTCCATCACGTGTTTTCTTTCAACCATCGTACCACTCTTGCCAATGCCATCGACACCCACAATGCCAAAATCAAAGGGCAAAGCTAGGTGTGTTAACACAAATTTCATAAATGACACTTTGAATACGACCAAATCTGGCCTCATCGTGCGGAAGACAGCCTGGAGGCAGTTTCAAGATGCTCAGTCATCAATCCTCAAAGGTGATGTAGGTTGTAGATAATGAACCCAAGGTCATAACCACCCCCTCAGATGCTTCTCCAGCTGTTTCATCACTGGTAGATGAGATCAGAAACGATGTTGACCTTACTGGGAGTGATGCCTGGAATGTCGGTCTTGATGAGACCGCAAATGACTATTCCTCCCTAGACATGACTTATGAGGATCTTGCAGACGTAACAGCACTGCTCCAACCAAAGCAGTAGGCACCATTTTTTTCCATCCCATTGCTCCACCCAAGTCAACCTCTTTTTTTGTAGTTGAAGCAGAGGAATTTTGTGGCGCAATCAAATCAATGCATCACAGGCACACTGGGCAGCATTAATACCCAGTCTGTCCAACATTTATCTCCAGTTCAAGACCAGCAACCCTCAATGTACACCACTTCATTACTGCAAACCACCCGAAGGTTCAGATTTCATTCATATCTATGCTGTCGACATCTTTGGTATGTCTTTCTTTTGTTTCGACAGGGGATACTCATTCTCCAAAGACAGCCGCTCATATGAATACATACCTCGGGATCTGGGTGAGGCCTCACCGACATTTGCCCTTCTTCATGCCGGTTACATCCCAGCCACTCCCATCAATCCAACTGTAGTGATTTCGATATGCTCACTTGAACTTCTCCACTGTCTGATGCGCACATCACCGAGCTTCAGTATTCAGTCATTTACCCGACTGCTGGCTGATTTACATTGTGTGAGTGTACAAATGATAGAATAGTACTCTCTGCGGTGCTGACAATGCCCTCCCCCAGGTCGTATATCAGCCATACCTTCGTACACAGGTCTCACTTGCTTTTGAGGCATATTACGCTATCATCATGAGAGTGAACGCCTTTGTAAAGCATGTCATGGGGCATGATATGCCAGATTATCGCCTCAAGAACTCATGTCCTGCATGCCATTACAAGGTATGTCACATCCTCCCCACTGACGACTCACTGACATGTTCCATGGTAGCTTTACAATGAGCCCAAGCACCCCATTGAGTTAATTGTTACTGGCAATGGAAACACTTCCCTTTCATGCCTTCCACACCAATATGAATCTGACTGTCGGACTTTTTTTAGTGATTACTTTTTACTTCGATCAGAGGTAGATGCATTTCAAAATACCAAGAAACAATCTCAGCTTGACTCAATGGTATAGTACATGTCCGCTTTTTGAGTAATCATGAAATAGCATCAGCTGTGATATAGACAGGACCAAGTGACCCACCCCCCGAATCGTGCATTGGCTGGAAGAACTCTTGGCCAATGGCTCAAACAACAAAGGCTGGATCCCTCGGCATTATGGATGAAACAGGCATATTTTTAGTTATTTGCCACCATGGTATTGTCCAGTTTATCATGGATATGGTCAAAAGTGGGGAATTGTGAGTTACTTTCATTCTCGATTCTCCCTTTCTTTCTACATCTATTTACTCTGGATGTAAGAGCAAAGTACCCAGTGGCAGCAGCAAACAAACTGATAAGTACATTTGGCCATGACATCCTCTTCGCTTACGATGTTGGATGCACCTTCTCCATCACACTTGCCCGCTCTACTATTGGCGATGTGGCATGTCAGGCCAATTTCTTGTGCTGTACCGGCTCCTTTCATGGTGTTGCCCACAGTAGGTTGTGTCAGCTCGATCACCTCATAGGTCTCAAAGAAGGGGTGGGCATCGAAGACGGGGAAGGCAATGAATGGGCATTCTCCTCCACCAATGGCGTTGCAGCAGTAACCCAGCATGCGTCTGCACATTACCGCCACTTCCAGATCCACCTTCATTTTGAGAAGTGGGACCAGGATAAGTATGAGCGCTTAGGTGAGGATTGGCACCACTCACATTAACTAGTTCTGACCCAGGGATAGGCAACTTTCTATTAGGGAACCATACCTCTGCATGGACGCAGATCCGCAAATCCATGGATATCTTGGAAGCAACGAAATGCATGCACCCATCATATTTCGACTGGGACTGTCCACTATTTCTGCAAGAAGAGAAGGAATACATTGCATCGCTGAGGTCTGAGCCAAAGGCTGAACAAGCCAAAATCGAGTACCTTGAAGCACTGGAGCGATTAGAGAATGCTGAGTGAGTCGCTGCCCACATAATGTGCATACCACCTACAAATCTAAGTAGGTCAGAGCTTCGGCCTCTGTTATCAATGCTATCTGCATCACCAACCTCAGAACTCGCCTACCAAGCTTCGTGTGCTCAATGCAAAGTGGAGGATGCACACTGTATTGTCTCTGCACTGGAGGCAACGTCATCCCTTGCCCTGGCTTGAAAACTGTCCTCAACGCCAGGAAGCCATCCAGTTGCGTAATGAGAGAAAGTATCATCGCCTTCTTGATGATCTGGAACATCGTGCTATCTCTCGTCAGTTTGAGTTGGAGAAAATGGGTCTTCCAAAGACCGGTGAGTACTTCATTATAGTTTTCAGATATTACATCAATTTTTCCATTCATAGACTACAAAACCTGTCAACATATATCACAGTTGGTTGGAAAACAGAGCAGGACGCTTCATTCCACCCTTGAGAAGTACAACACCACTGCCGCAGCAATGATACCTCTGAAGCCATCCCTCACTTGGGATGACATAACCCATCCTGACTTCCCAAGTACAGTTGAACTATTACAGGGTCGTGATGATATTCGGAGTTGTGAATGGACGCAGGAGCATTTCCACGCAGCAACCCATGCATGGGCAAGACTCCAATGTGCAAAAGAAGAACTTGTTACCATTGGAGTTGAAACCCGCAGAATACTGACCTCTATGAGGGATGAGGAACTACAGCTCAAGGTAACTATCAAGGTTGTGGCTGCTAGCAACCCAACCCTTGCATCATATATCTCGATGGCTTTCAAGTGGCATGTCGAAGCAAATGCCCACCTCCGCAAGAAATTATCGTGCCTTGAGTCCCGTCTGTATTATCTTTCCCCACATGGAACTGGTACTTCTGCTCGCTCTGAGTGGGTGCCTCCAAGCAACTCCGACGTCAATCAACAACTCAGCATTGAACCCAATTTGCGAGGTACTATCAAAAAGTGTAATCCACTTCATGAACCTTCATGAACCTTCATGGATCCCATGAATTTTCATGAAACATCATAAAGGTTCATGAACCTTTATGCTTATATACAATATTTATATTGAAATCATTAATTTTCAACCCAAAAAGTTGATTTTTTTTGGCAAGCATGAACTCATGACGGTTCATGACTTCTGACTTCATGAAGAGTCATGAAGCCATGCATCATGAATCTTCATGCAGAGCCATGAATCTCCATGCATGGTCATGCATGGTCATGACTCTTCACAGGAATTCATGAGCATGCCCAAAAATTCCCATACCTGCACATGAATGCTCATGACCCTTTATGAATATTCCTAACCTCCATGAATATTCCTGACTCTTCATGGAGAGTCATGACTGGGCGGCACATGGCTTGAGTGTGCAAGGTGCAACCAAATTTCCCCCCATTTGTCTCTCCAATTCTCCATCAAATGGTATGTGGTAGGTACCTTTTTTGTCACATGAATTAAGGCTTTTTTCTGTATCTCATTGTGATGCAATAGTCCCAGATTATATGAAGGAATTTGGATGAACTGGTTCACTATATGTGCACTTATTCTGCTTACTGTGCTGTCAAAAAATACAGAAAATACTTTGGGTTACATGAAACACTTGATTTCTTGCCAGTGTTAGAACTGGGCAAGGGTGGATGATTCCGGAGGGGAACCAGAGACTTAGCAAGGAGGGACCTTGGCCTCAGCGACTCAAGCAGAGCGCTGTGCCATTGCTGTTTGTCCATTTGGTCCTTAATTTCAGAGGTGGCGAGCAGGAAGTCTCTAGGGGGCATTTCAGGTCGATTTTAGACTAAGGGCCTAAAACAAGTATGTACAAGCACCGGTATATAATGGAGAGGGCGAAAGCATGAGGAAACAAGGAGAGTCCAAATCAGAACAAAGGTGTCCAAACAGGACAAAGGGAAGAAGAAAGCGGAGCAGTACTGAAGGTCATAGGTCAGAACCTGTGGTACATCCGAAAGGAGATAGGGGGGGGGAGGGCGAAGCCCAGAGGGGCAGGAGGATGAGGTGAAGTGGGATGATGACTAACTGGCTAGAATGGGAAGAAGCAGCAGTCCAAATAAGGATGAGGGGAAAATGCAAAAGATACATTACAAGCAGCAAAAGTGCCAAGTATGATCTGTGGAGCTCGGAGCTTATGGAGGTTATGGAGGTTATGGAGGCAGGGTTGGAAGTCCGAGGGATATTGGCAAGGTGCTTATGTAGTATGAGGTCACCAATGCAATGGACTTAAGCCAAGGTGAAGTCAAAGTCTGAGGTCGGAACTAAGATGGAATCTCAGAGCGAAGGTACAAGTGGTGTCCAAGTACAGGGTATGGGACAGCGGTGGAAGGTCGTAACTTGGTGGAGGGTTGGCGGAAGAGGGTCAGAGGAAGGAGAGAGAAGAGAGGGAAGGGGAGAGGAGTGGAGGAGAGGAAAGGTGTCAGGTCTGAAGGTGAGTATCAGAGTGGATGGGAGAAGGGTAGGAGAGTGATGGAAGGGTGGAGGAGGAGTGAGGGATAAGAGGAGGAGTGAGAGGAGGAGTGAGAGGAGGAGGGTGGTGAGAGGTGTGGTGTTCAGTCCAAGGTGAGTATTGGAGTGGATGGAGATAAGGTAGGAGAAGGATGGAAGGGTGGAGGTGGCATGAGGGGTAAGAGGAGGAGTGGTGTCAGGTCCAAAGGTGAATATCGGAACAGACGGTGGTAGGGTAGGACTCCAGAGGTGGTGAAGGTGGGGGTCCGGGAGTCGGATCAGGATCGGGTATGTACAGATATGACAGCCAGTTTGATTGCCAAAATCCATGAAGATTTGGTGTAGATATGGCCATGCACCCAGGGTGAGCACTTATTGTGACTGTGATTGTGGCTCTATTTGTTAGAAGGTGGCAGATTCAGCTGGTTCCAGAAGTGGAATGGAGACTTAATACATGAGGACCTTGGCCTCAGCGACTCAGGTGGAGTGCAGTGCCACTACTGTTTTGTCATTAATTTTGGAGCTAACAATGGAAAGTCTCTAGGGGAAATTGGGTGGGGTTTCAAGTTGATTTTCAGACTGAGGCTACAAGTAATTATGTACATTTTATGAGGGGCTGAATTGGGACAAGGAGCCTGAATGGAGACAAAGGGGTCTAAGAAAAGGAACAACATCAAGGGTCAAGGGTTTGACTCAATGGTGCATCTGAGAGGGGGTGAAGAGGGTGCAGGCCCAGAGGAGCAGGAGGAGGGGTGGGAGTGGGGTGTATGGCTCTAACTGGCTGAATGAAAAGAAGCAGTTGCCCAAATAGGAGTAAGGGAGAAAGGTGAGAGTGAATGGGACAATGCAGTAAACTGTGGGGTCTGTGGTGCATCTGTGAGGTCCAGGGGTAACAGAGGTTACAGAGGCAGAGTTGGAAGTCCAAAAAGATATTGGGAAAGGTGATTGAATGAAATGAGGTCACCTATGCAGTGGACTTAAGTGGAGGTGAGGTCAAAGTCTGAGGTCAGGGCTAAGACAGAAATCTTGGAGATAGAGGTATGGCATGGTGTCTGAGGTCAGGGTATGGAGACAGAACAGAAGGTAGTACCTTAGTGGAGAAGTGGGGTGGGAGTTGGGAGATGGAAGGTGATGTCAGGCCAGAGGTAGAGTAGACTCTTGGAGGCTGGCTAGGGCATGGGTGAAGTGGGATGCTGGAGTTGGTGCAGGAGTTGGGTCAGATCAGGTATGTACAGATATGACACTATTCTTCTTCATGGAAAGTCATGCACATTCATGAAAATTCATAAGAAGGCATGGGGGTGCATAATGTGTCCTGTCAATTTCCAACTTGAACTGGTTATATTTGGTCATGAAGGTTCATGGAGGTTCATGAAAACTTTCATGAGACTGCATGACTGTGTATGCTCCTGCATGAACCCTCATGAATCCTCATGAATTTCTGTGCAGCTTCATGAAACTGCATGAATTCATGACCCTTCATAACTTGGGATTACACTTTTTTGCAGTTACTGCACCAGGTTTCAATCTGACATATGCATTACTCTCATTTACAGGGTATAGGGCTGCAGCAGATGGTAAGTTCCAGACAGCAAAACAACTTGTCCCTGCATGTTTAGATGGATGCAACCTCATCACAATACACCGTTATGTACTTCTGGAAGACTTGGCAATATATGGATGCCTATGAGTGCATAGGAAGTTCTCTATTATAAGTTTACTTCTCACTTACAAAGTTCAAACAAGGAACGGATTAACTGGGGCACAGGCAGAATATGCCATGCAGAAGTACAGTCACATAGATGTATTAAAATGAGTATCTATGACTCTTAGCCACAAGAATTTAATTTATTATAATCTCTACAATCATAATTGCACAGCGGTTCCCCTGTAAATTTCAACTTTTTTTTTTTCGGGAGATTGGCCACCCACCATTTTTCTGAAACTTCAAAGAAAGCTGTTTCTTGAGCACATTTTATAGTAGGATTTAATTTGAAGTCATGTTTCTAATCCGATTGTTGAGTGAAAATGGTGTGGGAAAGTTCCATCCCAAACTGTACACTCGCCACTGTATGTACATGAAAAGGCACTGTTTTGTAGTGCAAGGGTTTATCCCTGCAACAATGTAAGGGCTGCCTGCTATATGGTCTCACTGCCCCACCGCTGTCCGGGCTGCTAGCACCGAGCATTATGCTGCTACCCCTGCCTCCTTCGAGCCATCCCTGACAGGGGGGTTATTTGGTTATTTATAAATTACATACAACATCATCCTTTATCAGATCATCTTGCCGTTGATACCTTTTCTATAAGATGAAATGATGGACTAGCAATGTTGTCACTCAGTCCCATTGTACATGAACTAAATATATATTGGAATAATCACCTAGTGATGTTGTCACTGGTGTATGAGTGTTTAATGCATGAGGATATGTGTGATAAAGATGATATAACCAACTCACCTCAGTCCCATTGTACATGAACTGAGGAAAGGTTAGATTGTCCAAAAATTAGGATTTTATAGTCAGGTGCTATGAATGCACACTGACTTTGGCACTGATGTGCCCAAGAAAGGTAATTGGTGAAAATCTAAGACACCACATGACTCAACACATCAGGAAACCCCTGAGGCCAATTGAAGTGGTTGAGATCATTTCAACCTCACATTTACAATCACTTCAACTGGGCCCTGTATTGGCATGCTATCACATTCTCTCCCATATTGAAGTTTATCAATAAAGTTATTATATTTGAACATTATGTTGCATACATACTTGGGAAAAGAACTCAGATACAAGTTATTACAGTAGTACCCAGACACAATGTAATGCAAAATGAAACACAAAATAAAGAGAAGAGGAAAGTGTCAGGGCACACACCACCTGGCCCCTTTGTTGCACCCCATGCCATGCCACCCTACTCTGCTTCTCCTGCTGTTACCCCCACTCCTCCTATCTCACCCCTCTCCCTTCCTTCCCCTCTTTCCTCTTTCTCTATCTCTGTCCTACAGTTGACTTTCCCTTTCTCTATGTACCACCAGTATGCCTGCATACCTGGGAGCACCATGCACCCCTCCTGTACCACTACACCCTCATGCCACTGCCTCCATCACTGCACCTGCCACATACATCCTGCCCACAGCCCCAGGATCTCCCACAGGGACACCCAGAGAGGTGTGGCTGTGTGAAGAGATGATGTGGCTCCCTCCATGTGACCACAGCCACATGTATATAACAGCACTTGGGGTGGGAACAAAAGAAGCAGCCTTCTCCTCACTTCATTTCCAACCTCCAACCAAACTTCTCATGCACGACACTATCCCCAACTTCATACCACATGTACTCAACAACCACTCATCCGTTTCTGACGATCTTAGGCTTGTTCGATAGAAGATAACTAGCTCTACCTTTATGCCAGGTTTGGTGCCAAACGGTTCAGCGGTTGAGGCATGCATCTGCTTTCTTTGATTTTCACCCACTTTCTGTCAGGGACAGCTCCAAAAGTGGTGAAGTCCCACCACAGGGGACTTGGTGGGATGAGAAATGGCTGTGCATAGTGGTGATCCTGTTACGGGGTGAGCATCCCTGACCACTTAGTCTGAAGTGGGGACATGGGCAAAAACATATAAAAATCATGGGGAGGGAGGGGGATGTATTGGAGGGTATTGGGGAAGGGTCAGGCAATCACAGAATGGTGGTGGCTCATGTAAACAAGCACAAGAGGGTGGTTAGGAATATTGATGTCCCATATTTTGGGCACATGTACCTGCAGCTGCCAGAGATTTTCCATTATTCCTTTATTGTCTTTCTTGTAGCATCAGCAAAAGTCTGTTATGCTCCAGAGCATCAAGAGTGGCTGGAGCATGTGGGAGACAAAACAGCAGATTGGGCACTCCTGGAGCCAATAGTGTTCTCCTGGGAGGGGTTCAGGAGCAGTGGGAGAAAAATTTTGGTCTCTAAAAAGTTGAAAAAAAAAATTTAGGGAAAAAATCAAAAAGAAATTCAGGAACTATAGTGTCTTTTCAGGACATATAATTATTTGCAAAATTGAGGAAGAAATGATGGAGAAAAATTGGAAAATACTTTTGGAGACCCAAGAAATAATGAGAACTGAATTGATGGGAAAGTCTGAAAATTGAATAGGAAAGTGAGGGGAACCCTTGTAGCATTTTATTTTCTGCTGTTCTGGTTTTTCCTGATTGTTCTTGGTCTCACTCCCAGCTGCTCCTGGTGTTATGGAAATGGGAATTTCCCATTTTAGACTCTTATGGGTTCTGTGTCACATGATTTGTATAGTAATGAAGTTTATCCAATCAATTACAACCAAAAACCTGCTGTGCCAACATCTGTGAAACCACCTGTAAAACCTAATGAACCACCTCACCTCCCCTTTCCACTTTCCTGTGCCAAGAACAGATGAAAATGGGCACCTCTGGACCCATTTTTGTAACACCTGGACCCTCCCAGGAGCTTTCAGGAGCTTCCAGGAGTATGGAGGAGCAGCTGGGAATGAGACCAAGAAGAATTGCAGCAATGCTGCATGGGTTCCCCTCACTTTCCTATTCAATTTTCAGACTTTCCCATCAATTCAGTTCTCATTATTTCTTGGGGTCTGTCAGGTCATGGTCCATGTATGTAGGGGGTCACATGACCCAGGGAGGTCACTATCATCCTACCCACTGTGAATCATACATATTTGATACTCACAGCTGGGTTCTAGGACACCCACCTTACAGGGTCTCTGAAAGTATTTTCCATTAGCTGCTCCTGGACCCTCCCAGGAGCTTCCAGGAGTATCTGGGAGTATCCAGGAGCAGCTGGGAGTGAGACCAAGAACAATCAGGAAAAATCAGAACAGCAGAAAATAACAATGCTACAAGGCTTCCCCTCACTTTCCTACAGACTTTCCCATCAATTCAGTTCTCATTATTTCTCAGGTCTCCAAAAGTATTTTCCATTTTTCTCCATCATTTCTTCCTCAATTTTGCAAATAATCATATATCCTGAAAGCACTTCAAAGGCACTACAGTTCCTGAATTTTTTTTGATTTTTTCCCTAATTATTTTTTTTCAACTGTTTAGAAGTGCCTATTTTTCAAATTTTCCTCATTTCCCTCCATATTCCCCCCTCATTTCCCCCCTCATTCTCCCCCTCATTCTCCCCCATTTCCCCCCCCCATATTCTGCAAGCCTGAAAATGATTAAATTGCCAGACTAATCATATATCAGGCCATAAATTTTGATTGTGTATTGGTGAGTCTCAGTGTCCTTGATATATAGTATAGTGTTTGATCTATGTAAATGTTAAGCAGTGTCTTGTTGTGTTAGTCTTGTGGTAGGAGGTATTCATGGGGAATCTTCCTGCTTCTTTCCTTTTCATTTTCAAATGCTCCAGGAGCTCCCAGAAGCTTCTCACCCCTATACACTTTGGAGCATTTGAATTGTATTTACTGGATATGTTTGTGCACAAAGCAATGCTCCATGCCCTCCTGGGAGTGCCCTGGAGTACCTGGACAACTCTGGAGGAAATGAGCTGTTCCTGGACCGGCCAATCTCTGTCAGGGACTTGTCCGGGGTTGAGGAGGCCTGGGTGTAGCACCCAGTGCTGAGAGCCTGGCAGGGTGTGGATCAGGCATGCATACTGACAGGCCCTATACAGGACAATGGTCCCTGGCCACTTAGACTGAAGTGGAAAGTTGAGAAGAAGACTACTTCTTTGGTTCCCACTCCAGGTACGTTTATATACATGCAGCTTGGGTCACATGATGGGTGCCACGTCACCTTTGCACACAGCCATGACCACCCAGGTATCTCCATGGGAGGTCCCAAGAGCATCTGGTGCGAGCATGTGTGCTGGGCACAGCAGGAAGTCACCTGAGATGTCTGGGCCAGGTGTGTCATATGTGCGCTGTGGGTGGGTCAATGGTACATTGATACAAAGGAAAGTCGTCCATGTAAAATAAAGAGAAAATAAAGAGGAAATAGAATAGGGGGGAGATATGAAGTGGAAGGGAAGAGAGGGAAGGGGAAAGAAGGGAGAGACAGGGAAACTGGGACAGCTGCAGAACAGAACACTGAAACACAGGTTGGAGCAGTAGACAGGAGAGGTCCACTTGCATGTGCCGACTGAAAGGGTAAACCAGAGGGAAAAATAACATGAGGAACAGATGGAGGAACAGAGGGGGGAAGCGAAATGTGATCGGACCGCATGCAGAAATTCAGCCCTGAAGAAGCAAGCAAGGCGGGGGGTAAGACAGAGGGAAAGTTAACTAGCAGAAGAGATGGAGCAGTAGGGGAAAGGGAAACATGATCGGATACCAAGCAGAAATTCAGCCCTGAAGAAGCAGGAAAAACAGGGGGTGAGTAAGGGGGCCCAAAAACAGAGAAGATTAGATGGTAGAGAGCATCGAAGGATCAATGTAGTTGAATGACTGAGGCATGAAAGAGCAAAGAATGCATCAGATATGGCACCTTACGATGGTGTTTAGCTGATGGGCCAGGATCATCAGGCATGCCTGGGGACTCCAGGGCCATATCGGTGTCATCAAATTGGATGGATGAGGACTGAATCGCCTGTTGAGGAGACAGGCGGTCGATAGTCATGCTGGTGCCAATTTGGAGATCTGAGAGGCTCTTGAACAACATGCTATTCGTTTTGGAAGCAGACTGAACTTGTTGGTGAAGAACCATAATTTTGTTGGTGATGGCATCCTTCTCGGCATCTGTCTTTGTGTGATCCCACTCCAACACAAGAAGAGTAATCTCTTCACGAAGGCCCGAAACCTGCATCTGTCTGCCAATAGTGTGTACCATTCCAGCCATCGATCTGTTAAGCATGGCTATGGCGTGGCTTTGAGCTTGAACGACAGAAGACATAGAGCTCACAACCTCATTAGTCTGATGCATCTGTTCAGTCAGAGTGGTGATAGCATGGTCAGCTCTGGCAGTCACTGTCTCAACCTGAAGGCAGTGTTGAGCCAGCTGGTCATATACTTTGGCCATACTCACATTATGGGAGACTGTGAGAGTGTTGATTGTGGCCGCAGTGGACCTTGGTATGAAAAAACCTTTTCCATTGAGTTGATAAAGAAGTTTTGGAGGGGAGATCTCGGCCTCTGAGGATGCGAGGTATTCAGAGAAGAAAGAGACGTTGTTGGTGATCTCATGGATAGTGTCCCAATCCTTGACATAAAACACCAAAGCGTTATTTCCTTGCTCCATCGTGTAGCCTATGAATTGTGCAGGGTAGCAGGTCTTGACCATGCTGGCAAGCTGCTGTGCAAAATCGTCAGTATAGCGAGCCATGCCAACTATAGCTCCCGTGTATGGCCAAAGGGGTTGGACACATGCCTTAGACTTTACGCTATAGGCCTTTCTTCTGATGGTCAGGCCGGAATCGACCAGACGGGCAACGTCTGACTGTGAATGAAGCAACACAGCGGTGGAAGAGCCATAGACGCTGGCATAATGAGCTCGGATGTTTACCACGCCAAGAGCATGCAAGACCTGGGCTTCCCAATCCTTCGGGGTAACGCCATCTGAGTCGTAAACCAGCGAAATAATCCTGAGGTTATCCACACCAAACATAGGACTCCATACTGTTCCAAAGGCTAAATCCTCTAGTGGTTTACAGCAACCATCAAAAAAATCTGCACATCGGATTTGGATGCATGACCCAGCCAGATCTCATGCTTGTCCAAAAATGGTCACAAATCAGGGTCAACTTCAATGTCAATACATTCAGCATTTAGCGCTCATAGCGACCTGACCTGGCACTTTGTGAGCTGGGGTCTTCAGGTCCCCAGGTGTTACAGGAGCCTCTACCCTATTTCACGTGTACCATTCAACAGCACAGGAATCACTCATGTGAGGCATGAAGGTATGTGCTCCCATGATCCATCACACATCAGCCAACTCATCAGTCATGACTGCCACAGTGGCCCCAGGTATAAAACGCCACATTTTCGTGGCACTCCTGTTCTCTGCTGAGTAGTGAAGCCCTATCTCACGTCTAACATCTTACTATTATGACCATGCAGAAATTTGATCTCAAGTTCTGGCAAGAGAACCCTGACAAGCGCTCTCTCTGGTCCACTGCCTACCTCTTTGGTATGACAGATATTGTGCCACTGCCTTGGATGCATGAGGATGCACTCCTCAAGTCTCTCATTAATGGACATGCCCAGTATTTACTCGATAATTCTACCTCCCTGCTCAATGCTTTCGTTGACAGCAACCTCCGAGATGATGTTTTTTTGTCATGCCACATTCCTCATGACTGTAAGTGCCTTCTGGACTGTTCCAACACTCTCACTTCTTCTCAATTTTACAGGGAACCAGACACCATCTGATGACCGCCTCTGTAAGCACATCAAGAATTACCTTAGTCATACATCGACCTCGACCTTGACCTCTGATTGTAAGGGATTAACCTTACTTCACTATAATTCCGATTATAGTGATATTTATATTATGTTGCATCGCTATAATTCCCATTATAGTGATGTGGTTATTTCTTTATTTATTTGTGCCGAGATATGTAATTTACATATATATACCTCGGAGTAGTTGTAAAGGCCCGGTAGCCTTTTACCTCTACCCCGTTGAATATACAGCACATTAAAGCTTATATTTAGATGGACTACCTGAGGCCTGAGGCGAACGGGGGAACGGAACGTACCGTCCCCAAAATAGTAAGCAAACCTTTCACTGATGCACCCATTGCCATCAACGATGCAATTACTCTGCTCCAAAGCGCCCTACCCCAACTGACTGGGTCTCCCCCTCAGTGCCCTGGCCCATTGTCAGCCAACCACACCAAGGAGAAGATAGCTAGTAAGGCTGCTTCTGGCAAGAAGCCGCGTTTTGGTGAGTCAACATCAAACTTACGTCTCAGCTGTGACTCCCCACTAATCAGCCATGATGTCAGGTCTGCAAGTGGAGTTCCCACTTCACTCGATGGATGCATCCAAACCCACCATGTCCCATGTTCTTGATATCCAAGACTCCTGGACCACCGAACACGTGCTATCCACTATCACATCTGACATGGGTGCAGACTCCTTCCCAGTCGCTCACATGATTTCTCCGAGGTTTAGCCACAACTTACGTTGCCCTCCGAAATCTGTCAAGCGACTGGTACAACTTGCAACACATGATGTTCCCACACTAAGTTGTAATGAGTTGTACATAGGTTGTGGAATATAATTTTTAGTATTTACGCATGTGGTCATTGCACCCAACCCAACCCATGGAGACTAGGGGAGCACATCCAAGGTTGTGAAGTCAATATCCGAGTGTGTGCAAAGTTCAACAGTTTATATATTACTTGGTTACCAGCTACTTGTTTGTGCCCAGTGGCATAAGTGGTAGAGTGCTAGCTGAGGCTATGCAGTTTTTTTGAGTTGCACATGTTCAATTCTCGCTTATGAAACTTTTTTTTTCATACCCTCCATTCCTTAGTGTACATAAAAACAACGATTTCACACAATGATTCCATGGGAGGGCCCAAAAAAAGTTTCCCCAAGTGAGAATCAAACATGTGCCACTCAAAAAGATTGCATAGCCTCAGCTAACGCTCTACCACTTATGCCACTGGGCACAAACAAGTAGCTGGTAACCAAGTAATATATAAACTGTTGAACTTCGTGCACACTTGGATATTGACTTCACAACCTTGGATGTGCTCCCCTAGTCTCCACAGGTTGGGTTGGGTGCAATGACCGCATGCATAAATACTAAAAATTATATTCCGCAACCTATGTACAACTCATTACAACTTAGCATGGGAACATCACATGTTGCAAGTTGTACCAGTCGCTTGACAGATTTCGGAGGGCAACGTAAGTTGCAGCTAAACCTCGGAGAAATCATGTGAGCAACTGGGAAGGAGTCTGACATGGGTGTAGCTTCAACATCCATAAGATTGCATATAAGACTTCGGCAATGAAGGTAAGGGAAGATCCTATTCTAATTGACAGTCTAGATACCTTTGCGGTTGGCCTTGAAGCCCAGCGCAATATCCAGTCGCATGCTCAAGGGCAAAAACACCTCAAAATTTTCAATCTGGTATGTCTAATTTTTTATTCTCTTACATACTTAGCAAACAAATTTCAGTCGGCAGTCACCAAAACCAAATCTGACAGCAAATCCAAGGGCAAAAAACCTGATCTCAACCCCTATGCGAGTCCGGCTGCTGCACTGTGTGCAGAGACATACCAAAAAATATTGGATAACTGTTATGGAAATGGGAATTTCCCATTTTAGACTCTTATGGATTCTGTATCACATGATTTGTATAGTAATTAAGTTGAACCAATCAATCATTAACAAAATCATGTCTTTGTGATAACTTCTATAACAACACCTGCCATATCTATTGTAAATTGAATGAACTCAACTTCTACCCCTTTCCCTCTTCCTGTGCCTAGGATGGACGAAAATGGGCACCTCCGGCCCCATTCTCGTAACAATAACACTTGGTGTGGCAAGCACACTGGTCATTGCTATGCCCATCCCAAGGCAGACTGGAGCCACTTGAGCTTATCGAATGAGGCCCTCAATTTATGGACAAATCATATTGTAAGTTTCCTTTTCATCAAGATCATGTTTGACTGACATTTTATATTGCAGTGTGAAGGCAGGCCAGGTGTTACACTGAAACAACCACCCCACCACAAACTGTTTGAGGTAGGAGGCATCAAATGCAACTCCAACTGGAAGCGTGTTCATCTGGCTTCCCCACTTCATGTTGCCAAACACGTAATGGTCAAGTCTCCAACTGTCGGACCAAGCACACCAACCCATGCCAAAACCCGTGCCAAGCATGTTCCATCAGCTTCTCCCCTCATGTCACCAAACGTGTAAGGACAGCTGGGCCCTCAACTGCTGCTGAACCAAGCACATCAACCCATTCCCCCCTCGTTGATCTCAACATGACTGTCATCAACTTGATGTCATCATTGCCTGTGAGAGCCTCAACATCAACCACTTGTGTCCAGCACCAATGCCCTATCAAACAACAATCAGCTGCTATTATTGATATTCCTTCGTCACCAAGTGAACACCTCTCACGCAAACATCACAAGTCACCACCCATCATTTGTCTCGACTCCGACTCTGACTCCGACTCCGACTCCAAGTCCGATGCAAAAAACGAACCCAATGCTGATGGCAATATTGGGGGTCAGGTTAAAGTTGATCCCATGGAGCTCAGTGATGATGAGCTTGATGATACCATCCCAGACATATTATCCTGAGCTAGGTGAGCTTGATGATATGGTCTCAGATGTATTTCTCTGAGCTGGGTGTTGATCAGCCACCTGTTTTTTTTTTTTACTTTGTTCTCGAAAACATGTTTTCTTTTTTTTCGTCCTGTCATTCCCTCTCAGTAGTCATACTCAGAGTCCATCAATCAGTACAATACATGGCTCAACTGTGATTGGTCTCGATGATACCATGGACTCAGTCTATTGTGCAATTTTGGCATTGAAAATATGTACATGAGTTCAGGTACTAGAGGTAACCTGTGTGCTGAAACCAATGGCGAGCTTTTACTGGTGTCACAGTGTACACCACACTTGTGAGTAAGTCTGTTGCACAATGAAGTGATTCTGCTGCCAACTCATTGTTAACATAGGTGCGATTCATCAGCAAAAAATTGTTATGCTCCTGAGTGCTCCAGAGTATGGGGAGCACTGGGAGAATCAGGAGGAGATTGGCTGGTCCAGGAACAGCTCATTTCCTCCAGAGTTGGCCAGGTACTCCAGGGCACTCCCAGGAGCATTGCTTTGTGCACAAACATGTCCAGTAAATACAATTTAAATGCTTCAAAGTCTATAGGGGTGAGAAGCTTCTGGGAGCTCCTGGAGCATTTGAAAATGAAAAGGAAAAAAAGAGGGAAGATTCCCATGAACACCTCCTACCACAAGGCTAACACAACAAGACACTGCTTAACATTTAGATCAAACACTATACTATATATCAAGGACACTAAGACTCACCAATACACAATCAAAATTTATGGCCTGATATATGATTAATCTGGCAACTCAATCACTTTCAGGCTTGCAGAATATGGAGGAGGGGAAATGGGGGGGAAATGTGGGGGGAAATGTGGGGGGAAATGTGGGGGAAATGAGGGGAGAGAATGAGGGGAGAATGAGGGGAGAATGAGGGGGAGAATGAGGGGGGAATGAGGGGGGAATATAGAGGGAAATGAGGAAAATTTGAAAAATTGGGACTTCTAAAAAGTTGAAAAAAAAAATAATTAGGGAAAAAATCAAAAAAAAAATTAGGAACTGTAGTGCCTTTGAAGTGCTTTCAGGATATATAATTATTTGCGAAATTTCGGAAGAAATGATGGAGAAAAATGGAAAATACTTTTGGAGACCCAAGAAATAATGAGAACTGAATTGATGGGAAAGTCTGAAAATTGAATAGGAAAGTGAGGGGAAGCCTTGTAGCATTGTTATTTTCTGCTGTTCTGATTTTTCCCAATTCTTCTTGGTCTCATTCCCAGCTGCTCCTCAATACTCCTGAAAGCTCCTGGGAGGGTCCAGGAGCAGCTGGGAGTGAGACCAAGAACAATCAGGAAAAATCAGAACAGCAGAAAATAACAATGCTACAAGGCTTCCTCTCACTTTCCTATTCAATTTTCAGACTTTCCCATCAATTCAGTTCTCATTATTTCTCGGGTCTCCGAAAGTATTTTCCATTTTTCTCCATCATTTCTTCCTTAATTTTGCAAATAATTATATGTCCTGAAAGCACTTCAAAGGCACTATAATTCCTGATTTTTTTTGATTTTTTCCCTAAATTTTTTTTTTTTCAACTTTTTAAGGACCGAAATTTTCCTCCCACTGCTCCTGGCACATTGCATACTCCTCACCACTCCCAGCTGCTCCTGAACCCCCTCCTGGGAGAACACTATTGGCTCCAGGAGTGCCCAATCTGCTGTTTTGTCTCCCACATGCTCCAGCCACTCTTGATGCTCCGGAGCATAACAGACTTTTGCTGATGTTGCACTGTAGCCAGAGTTTGATGGATGAGAAGGTTTCTTCGATGGGGTTGAAGTCTGGGGAGTAGGGGGGCAGAAATTCCAGATGGACACCACTATGGATCAAGGATTAGAATAGTGATACCAAATATTAGGATACTTACCGTTCATGGCACATTTGCACAAGCCGATTTGATTTGTGAATGGGCGCATTGTCCATCACAAGGACCGAGTTTGCTTGAGGAAATGGATTCATTCTTGCGAGAATTGTTTCTATAAATTCGTTGAATGCTTCAGCTGTGTATGCTCCAGGCTGGATGTCACAGAACAGAATCCCTTCTAGTGACATTGCTGGAAGGACAGAATACCTGTGTTTCGATTGTTAGTGTTGTGAGGCAACAACCCGTGACTCACCAGCAAGCGCACATGACCCGCATGTGACACACGGTCCTCGTGATCGCGAATGTATAGTTTCTCGTTATTTGGGATTGTTTTCTTTTTTCCTCAGTTCTCGCTACGGAGACTGAGGTCAGTTTCCTCTTTGACATTCCTCATAACTTAATAACTCATTCCAACCAGTATATTATTATAGGTTAGAATGCTAATAATATCAGTTCTCGCTACGGAGACTGAGTATATTATTATAGCCCTCCGTTAGTTAGCTTATGCCTCATCACCCAAATAGTAAATCATATACTTTACACCATGAATAAAGAAGTCCCAGCATCGTGAGCCATATTTCCAGGCTCCTGTCTGACGACTGACTCCTGTTTCATCAACAAACACTAGTTGGTTTGCCTGATAGTTTTCTCCCATATGCCATTTGAAGTCAGCACGCATTTGTTCATCCCGCTCCACTGCAATCTTCTGGAGCTAGAATACAAATTAGCTGCAATTGTATTCGGAATTTTGGTGATATATACCTTTTTGCAGGTCAGACCACGACACCTCATTTCACAGAGAATTGTGCTTTCACTGACTTGAACATGAAACTCTTCATTGATAGCATCCTGCAGCTCAGAGACTAGAATGTCGGGTCTCATATCAATTTGGCTATCCAGGAACTACAGTGGGGTGTCAGGATAATAAGATAATGACACATATATGAATTGTACATTGATAGCATGAATACTGAGAGAGCATCGTCGGCCACGCGTCTCGGTGGCAAGGTGGTCATGGTGATGCCTTTCTGGATTACAGAGAATCTCCTGGATGGTGTGTACAGACACCTGGGTTACTGCTGAAATATCGCGTGTGCTCATTGAGTTTGACATCGTGATGATTAGGTCCTTGGCTGCAGGTTTGAGGTGTTTGCCCATTGTATGCGTGCGTAGCTAGGCAGCATCTATAATAATAGAGCGGTGAATGCAGCTAAGGGTCTAATATCCTTTTTTGGTGGTGCCATTGGGACGCTCATTTTTTTTTCCTAAATCGTAAATCACATGTTTTGCCCGATATATCCATCAAGATTTGACGCGCGGATTTTTTTGACGGTTGCTGTAATCCATTTCTTCATGTGATGCGCCTGTTTAACTGAATTGACTACCGACGCGTCGGGTCGGAGATAGGCGTAGTCGACAGATTTCCCACGCGTAGAGGAACGATAGACTGCGACTTTTATGAGATCGGTATGACGAGAAAGTAGGTCAGCGACGACCTTTTTTAGATGACTCTCGGCGGAATCCGGCGTTGTGGCTGGGAGGTTGCGGACAAGTAATTCGCAGCATTGGAGCGACGACGATAGGAGGGTTTGCTGGTTTTGAGAGAGATTAGATTGGACGTCGACGGATTCAACCCCCGGCAAAACAAAGTCGGATTCATTAATAGCTGTGTTCGAAGTCTGGGCTCCGGAGTCGGACATAGTAGATGGATAGAATAGGAGTGAAACGTAGGGGATAGGGGGACAAAAGTGGCAAGGGTCCTAGGGCGACAACTATAGGGCGAGAGACGGGAAAAAAGCTAGGTTAGTGCGATCGACGCGCTTTGTCAGCGAGGGGCAGCCAAGAAACACAACACGAAAGGTGGTTAGGACAACAGAGGCGATGAGGGTGTGGCAAAACTAATCTGAAGTTGAAGGCGACAGGCTCTGCTTAGGTTGGTGTTAGGTTACTGTTATGGGCAGCGGTGGTGGTGGTGGTGGTGGTGGTGGCCTGACTACGACACCTAGTTACATTGATCCCGTGATGAGTAATAGGTGGTGCAGAGTAATACGTTGTGGCGAGACGTGGGCCGGTGACTGTGCCGCCTGAGTGGGATCAATTCAAAGTACGTCTAATCCTCAGAAGATCCGGAATTGTGACGTCATTCACGCTTCACAGGATCACAAATCAATTCGACTCCTGGAAGAAGCTCAGAAGGCGATCAATTTCACGAGGTTTTATGGACCTTGGCACCTTTATCGATCTTTCCTTCCATTCGCTCCATCATCATCTCCCCTCCTTCATGAATTATATGGGCATCACTCAGACCCCATTCAAGTCTTCAGTATTTCCCGCGAGTTTTCCGGTCGCGTCATTCCATTAAATGAGGATGCACTCAGTGCCCGAAAGCTCATGGAGGCCAAGTTACTCGAGTTGTCAAAGACGCTTGGTGGTGAGGTCGTCAGCGGTGACGCTGAATTCCACGAACCCGATATTCGTAGCGGGATCGTGACATGCGCGGCACTTTCCCTCGATGGTTGCTGTGTTGCGCTCGGTTTTGGTAGCGGGGTTATCGAGGTTGCCGACATCGACCATCAGAGAACGATCTCTCGATTTCAATGCAGTCCCACTAATCTCCCGGTTTGGATCGAGTTTTACGGTGACAACAACTGGATTGTGACTGAGGATAGCAGTGGAAATATCACCATCCTTGAGTCCGGTATGCAACCCCAAACAGTTGGTATTCTTTCTGGTGGCCCTCGTCCTGCTGTAACCGCTGTGTCGGACAATGGGAATTTCGTTGTACGAGTCCCTCGAAATCTCCACTATGATTGGTACGAGGAAATGGCACTCTTGGATGTTTCTGTTCAGCCATCCATTCGGTATCTCGCATCACCTTCCTCTGGTGGCCCCCCTGAATTCCGTCCTTCTTCGGCCGCTCCTCTCCGTCGCATGCTTGGGTTTTCACCCGGAAGTCGATATATTGGCGCTTACGGCAGGAACCACGCATTCGTGTGGTCAACAGATTCTTGCCAGTTGATTGCTCAATATGCCGTACCAGACTTCACGACTTGGGCCCTCAATACCGGTATTACACCCCCCTCATCATATCTTGTCCCAAATCCTATAGTTGCTCCTTGTATACCAGATTCCGTATCAGACCCAAGCCACGACTCTGATGAGCCCTGGTTGAGGTGTCCCTTTTATGACCTCTCGCCTGACATGCAGCACAAAAGCACGCGTAATGAGGTATATTCCTCTGCGGTAGGAAGGATCCCATTGGTTACCGCAAGCCACACTGTATCGGCCCTCTGGTTCAATGGAAAGGTAAAACTCATCCTCCCAGAAGTGTACCGTCCAATTGTACGGAACCCGCGCAACATCGGCACTGAGGAAATTTGGTATGGTGACCAAATGTTCGATGACGACGAAGAACATGATGAAAAAGGGCGTAGTGAAGATGACGATGAAGAACGAGAAGGTGTGGTAGCGGTGATGATGATGGTCTTGGTGTATTTTATCTTCCTCGGACCAGCAGGGACGGAACTCGGTTCAGGGCTGCATGAAAGTTCCGATTGTTGATATTAGTCAAGTCGTCTAATGTGTCTGTGCGCATTCCTCTTATCAAGTGGTTGAGTGGCGCTCTGATGTAATTGTAATTGTGCGCGCCATCGAGTAAATCTGCGTCTAATTGTGCTGCTGTCGAAGGCTACAATGTTATGATGGTGCCTGGGACGATGGTGCGTTTCTGGAAACATGAGCTTAAGAGAATGGGATGCCCCCGAGTCATGCGCACCCATGAACTCCGGCATGAGTGGGAGGGAAATTCAGCGCCGAAGAAGACCGGCGGCATTCCGTCGGTCTGTTAGCTACATTGGAACAGCAAGTGAGAGTGTCGATAAGCAGTTGAGACGTGAGACACATACGATTCATGCGAGTCACCGTCTCCGCTATCTCGCGAAACCTTCCTTTCCTCTCTTTCTGCCTTCTTCTCTTTTCCTTCCGCACCTGCCCCTTCCTTCGGAAATACCTGTATACCCCTATGGATAATTCCCAAGCGGGAGTAAGAGCCAGTAGGATAGCTGCCATCTGAGTTGAAGGGAGAGAGATTGCATGTAAGGAAAACTGCGGCCTCGCGAGATAAACCTGGCCGAGACTCCACACACTATCTTCTCCGGGAAGTACATCATTGACACTGATCTAGATCTTAGTAACTGATGTTGTGGCTGCTTAGGGACACACCAATTAAGAAAAAGGCTTCTATACAGAACGCAAAAAAATTTCCAACCCAAATCCTCCGCTTTATTGGTAATAAGTTCGACTTGGTGTTGTAAGCCAGTGGGGGCATGGCCGCCCCAACCATTCTCCCAATGAGCCGGCCAGCGGAGATGGCCCACTTGACAACTCGGTTACATAAATGTTTCCCAGCCTCCAAGCGAAGCGATTCTCCGCCGGGGGTAAATACCGTAGTGCAACCGCTTCCTGGTCATTTTCGTCCGGCTCAGGGAACGGCACCCAACTGCTCCGCCGATTGGCTTCCGACGGCAACGAAGCGGTAGTTGCTCCCACAGTCATCAGCATCGAACTCATTCTACTGAGCATCCCTTCATCCTCTGAAAATTCAGTTGCTCGGAGGACGAATACTATGAAGTAACGAGGAGGCAAAAACTCAGCCATAAAGCCCATACTCCGTACCACACGCGACCGTTCGAGTGAGGTGTGGAACCAGCGATGGAACTGACGCGGAAAGGGTAAGCGAAGAACACAAGGATGAAGCGCCCCGCTTTCGGAACGCTACTCAAGCTGAAGATAGATAGGCCTTTGTGGGTAGGTCAGGATTAATCAAGAGGTGTAATTTCCTGGGTTGGTTTATTGGAGTGGCACTCCTAATACCCCTCGATGGTGAGCACATCAAATACATTAAGCTATGCTGTGCCAAAGGGTGCTAGGAGGGTGCGTAGATGATTGCGAGCCAGCATCCTCCTGGGTAGATGACGGTATGCATATAGAGGCGGGTGCCCAAAGAACGCGAGACTGAGTCGAGGCATCTCAATTGAAGCACGCTGTGGCTTATCAAACTTGACTCAACAGGTGAGGCATACAGGGCCCGATTCTGGCGCATACGTAGCACAGCTGGCCAGCTGGCGATGTATATATATCAGTGATTCCCGCCCCATGCAACGTTGGAGGCACTTCGCGTGCATGATCTGGGACCAAATACCGTATGCATCGCTGTGAGCTATAGTAAAATAAATCAAGCGCTGACATTCGATTCGCTTTGATTAGGTGCAGTCTCTGAAGCATCTGTGATTCTTCGATGGCAGATAGTGTTGCCTCTGGCCTTTCATTATACGTCCAAGATAAAGGGCATTTCAGACCTATCGTTCGGGAATTGGCTTAGAGGGGATTATATACACCGTCCTGCGATCGCCAGATTCGGGACACATAATAAATTCGGACAACTCCGCTACAATACAGCTACTGAATGACGAGCAAGGTCAAGGAATCAGCAATCCCGCACTTCTAGCACAATGAGCGACTCCAATTTTGGCCAAGTTGACTGTACGCTCCTCCCTGGCAGTTCTACTCATACTAACGTGAGATATGCAAAGGGACGAGTGAACTCTGCACCCTTGGGCAAGGAAAGGGGTGGACCCCCCCCAGCAAATCCTCGTGTCCGAAAACCGAGTAACCTGGATAGTAACATGCCATGGTATGGCATCTCATCTACTACTCGAAAACTTGGGTGTCCTTTATCTCTTTTCTAGTCAACGGTACTGAATATGAAGGATCGCCTAAACCCAATGTTCGCGAGGCTAAGCGGTCCGCCAGCGAGAAGGCGTTCAGGGCACTCACTGAACTTGAAAATTAACGCACGCCTGCCTTCTCTACCTACCTTCTGAACTCCGCACTCTTAATGCCTTCTACCATGTAATCGTGCTGGAAAACAGTCGCTCATCTCAATCGGTAGTTTCGGACTACAACATGCACTTTTGTGACCGGATCCAAGTTCGCAGGATTGTTCCTTGCATGGTTTATATAATAAGTACACCTCTGGTCTATGTGGCACTTGTAGACGAAACAATGGCATTGGGAACTCTTTGGATATTGTGTTGTGTATGTACGAACCATCTTCCAAGGAAGCCCTTATCTTGGTGACCTGGGTGTCCTTGGACCGGTTGAACGAGTTTCAGTTTTGTCGCAGAACTAGAATTGACCTATGCGTGTATCAGCTACTGGCCATTCCCTGGCTCAATTCGAATAGATGTGGCTGAGTTGAATCATTAGCGATAACTATAATTACTGATCCTTCGCTCTCAGCTAGAAGCTGTCCGGCAACAGTACTATTCCAAGTCGTTATCGAGTAATCTTACATCGCGATGCAATGCGGGATTTATGAAATTCGACGTTTTCGATATTTCGAGCGTAAAATTTAGTAGAACATAGAACCGAATCGTTATTCTCTCGGTGTGAGTTAACTTTCATCCATGCTGAGCTAGCCGCTCGCTACTCAAGAATATTTCATCGTCTGTGCATGCCTTGCCCTTCCCAAGCCGCTTTTTGTTCGGCGTCCCTCATTCATTAGCCCCTATACATCATACGATTTAGCGTTATATATACCTGCGTGCGCAAGCGCTACCGTTTGCATAGTCAATGCTGTGCCAATTTATTATATGCAGCGCCAGCACCCGCCTGTGGGTGGCGCATTCCAACGTAGACAGATCCGCAGTTCGCCTCGAGAAACGCTTTTGGTTAGTATGTGATTGCGCATAATGGATGTCAGCCTATCTTGACTCGTGTCGCCATAGTGATCGATAACAGGAGTAACTCGTCTCTTCGCCTCTGCTGGGTGACTGAGGAGGCCGCCACTACATTGATTTTTTGTCATGTACTTGTTGCTGAGTTCAATGAAAGGGTCACCCAGATCCGACCATAAATGTCACTCCCGGATGCACTGGCCGGTCGGACGACCCCAAAAATCTTTTGTGCTCGCTAAACCCGGCTACCTGACGTACCTGATGTGCGGTATAGAAACATTGTTAGCCAATCCCATCTGATAATGAGCTCGGGCCAACCTGGCTAATCAGGACTGTTTATGCCGAATGTGGTTTGCTTACCCCCTCTCGGTGAGGGGACAACGGGCGGCTCAGACGGTATAAAGTAAAGCGTCTCGAGCACGGGAGTTCTTCAGCAACAGCTTTGAAGACTGTTCTATACACCTCTAAATCATCGATTCGAAATGTCGGGCTGATAAGGTGTCTTGAAGGCTGACTCTGCCCTAATCCTTGCCTTCGTCATGGGTAAACGGGCCCAACGATTGCCAACAACGGGTTAGCCGGGACTTGAACGGACCGCCGATGATTACTGAGTATACATCCGAAAAGACCATTGGGGATGAATGTACTGGAGGGCAACACGTCTGGGTGAGAATAATGGTTGTGATTGCCATTTTTGCCACCGAGATACCAACATATCGAGATCCGCCCTCAGATACTTCTTCAGATATCCCCTTTCGAATACCAAGGTCATCAGGAATTGGACCGCTCATCCATCCTTCATTTGTGCTGTTACATAGAAGAAAGGTCAACATCCCACATACCTTGCGCACGGATGTACGATCTACATGATTGCCCATCGTTCCCTTCTTGGTAACTCTCTTCCAGCCGCATCGCAGAAGGCCTAAAAGCCGTAATTTTTCCCTCAGTTCGCTTGCTCAGAACTGAGGTGAGATCTCCTGCCTTCGCTATCTTGGACAATAACTAAAACCTTTGTATATCCAAGCGCTTACACTTTGCCAGGTATATAGATAAAATTTAATTCGCTTGCTAAGAACTGAGTGCTTACATCTTGCTAGTATTCTCACATGGGCGACGGTCTGCAGTTCGCGCCATGCCTCTAGCTGGGCGAAGAAGTTCTGGGGGAGCACAAGTCATGCATCGCAGGCGAAAACTGTGCAGACCAACAACACATGGAGAAAATCTCTACGCCTCCAACCGGCTGATATGCGGATCCCCCCCTTAAGGTCTTTATTCGCATTTTCCCTTGACCCTGACAAACCCTCAGTTCACCAGATAACGCGTCGCGGTAAGCACAGAAAGTGGGAGCTTCCCGAACAACTCATGGCATAATACCCAACGAGGATTCCCTGGTGCTCTTTCAAGTTACTTGTGTATTGGCATGTGCTTGCCCAACGTCCAGTGGGTTGCTCTAATTCTTGATTCAGCAGCTCCAAGAAAGGTGGTATTTCCTCGGAAGGATTCCTGATGAAGATAGTTAAGTATACGCAAAGGATAGAATACAGATGCACTTACTGAGAGTCCTTATATCAGGACGAAAATTACGATCGTAATTCAGGCACCTGATAAGGTACCCCAGGACGGCAGATGGAGGGATAGATTCGAAGGGTGATCGTCACGCCTTGATGGTAGTGGAATGGACGCTTGCCACAGAAGATAATCGGCGACGGTCAGTTCGTCTGAACTATAGACCATTGGCGAGATCTGGATTGCCTGCATAGCTACACACCCGAAGGCCCAAACATCGCTCTGTCTACTGCAGGAGGATCCACCTTTCAACAATTCCGGAGCTGCGTACCAACCACATGGCCTCCATTGTCTGCGTCTGGGATTTAGATCATGGAATAAAGGGTCTTCCAATATCCCGCAGTTGTGGGTGGCCTTTTTGGTCGGCTACAATGTTGTCCTGGATATAGATTATGTAAAGGATGGGTGGGCTACATCTAGGCGCGCAAGCTACACAACTTGCTGGTTTTACGCCACCACGAACTATGGCCTGTGTAGGCAGAAAATCAAGGCCTCTTCCAATGTTTAGAAGCTGTGTCCCACCCCTATGAGAACTACTAAGAGTTACGCTCACCATGGTCAAATGCTCATCATCAGTCATGGTTTGTTTCGGGTTAAGATAATCAGATAATCCCCTTCCACCTCACGCTAGTATGACACCAGACCCGGAGTCGGTTTCACATTCCCCGAACCACTGTTAAGGATAAACCCGTAAAATTGAACAACATGTTCGTTCGTTAATGGGCTCCAAATCTTAATCTCGCGAATGAATCGCTTTGCTTGTAATATTAGATTAGCGGTCGGCGCCCTATGATATGATCTTCCCACATACCAGGATGAAGTTGCTGTTAGTATGCGAAAAATCCAAAGACCTCGACACAAATTGGCGTCTAGAGGATATGTAACTTTTGGAGGATGTGGTGGGACTTGTACAGTGTCATAATTCCGCAGCGTTTGCCTGAGCACGGCATTTTGAGTGGCTCCTGCCGTCATATCCGTCAACTATCAATCGTTCACTGAAACTGGTGGAGGAGTTCTCAGTGATAAAAAAGTGCTCATAAGGGTTCGAAACTCTTTGGTACCAATCCAACACATATCCGAACTCATTCAACCGCAGAAGCACAATTCAGTTATGACGTAATCAACTCTTCATCCCACGCCGACCAATTCTGGCTCAGGACTCCATCACCTGCCATAACCAGATGTGAACTCTCTGTTGGCGCCATCGCGGCAGCGAGCATGTCTCCACACGACATACCTTGGCATTCAGATCTCGCACAACGCTTAGCGTCGGAAGCTGACCTCCAACTTGATTCCAGCCAGTGGGCAGCTCATGTTGCCGTGAGCCCTCGTGGTGTCTTGTTTGACCCTCACTGAGAAGTCCTGCTCAGAATGAAGGAATTATCGAGGTCTTATATGATGTTTCGGAACCGGCTGAGGCGAATCACTTATGGAATGAGCCACCGAAAAATAATATACTTGTCACGGGCTCATGAATTATATGTCTGACTTGTCTGACTTGATCGACATACTCAGGTCCGGATTCAAATTTTGTATTACAAATGTAGAAGTCACGCTCTGCTTTCAATACAAAAGTCACATGTTACATGGGGATAGACCCAAGTCCGATCCATTCTGGGTGGCAACACGCTTAGGTATTTACCGAAGTCTGAGAAAACAAGTCTGGGGAGGTTCCAAAACATGTAAACCACCTATGCTATGAAGTTGGCACCCAAGCCTGTGCTGGGTTTAACTGCTTATATATTACTTCGCATGCAGCAAAAGTGTTGGGTGTTGTGGCCCAGATGGTGGAGCGTTAGCCTGTAGTTTTCATTTTGAAGCCATGGGTTCGATTCCCACTTGGGGTAAATCTTGTTTTTTTTTTTGTTTTTGCATTCCCATCTGGTTGCAGTATGCGCAATGCCAGTAAATTAGGAACATCAGAAAAAAATAAAACCGAATCCATGCCTTCATATAAGTATTCAGGCACAGCTTGGAATACAAAAAAAAGATGTACACGGTGGGAATCGAACCCGTGCCTTCAAAACAAAAGCCACAAACTAGCATTTCACCATCTGGACCGCAATACCCAAGCGGTTTTGATGCATGCGAAGTAATATATAAACTTATCACAGGGCTGGGTGCTGACTTCATAGCATAGTAACTGGGCGGTTTACATGTTTTGGAACCTCCCCAGACTTGTTTTCTCAGACTTCGGTAAATGCCTAAGCGTGTTGCCACCCAGAATGGATCGGACTTGGGTTTATCCCCGTGTAACATGTGACTTTTGTATTGAAAGCAGAACGTGACTTCTACATTTGTAATACAAAATTTGAATCCGGACCTGAGTATGTCGATCAAGTCAGACAAGTCAGACATATAATTCATGAGCCCGTGACAAGTATATTATTTTTCGGTGGCTCATTCCATAATCACTTCATTGAGGTTTGTTAAAATCACCAACATAGCACCAGCATCTCACCTAACTGCACTGACAGCGGGTCAAGCAGCAATTGCACATTTTACGCGATTTGCGACACGAAAACATTGTAGAGTTCCAGGGGTGGACGGTACAGGAAGATGGTAATTTGTTCACTGTGGTCGCAATCTTAGGGAAATGCGAGGGTGGTGAGGTGATGGGCTTTCTTCGTGCACACAATGGCACAGATCGCCAGCAATTGGTACGTCATATCTTGAAAATGCCAAGAGACAGTCTAGTTTACGTCGAGTACAGGTTTTTGGGGTCACTGTCGGCCTGGATTTTCTACACTCCAAGAAAGTCGTTCATGGCAGCCTTAACCCCGTTCGATGCTCTCTTCGACTCCCCTGCTGGGTACTTCTCTCTAACTCGCTTGGTTCTCTAGAGGAAAATTTTCATCGATTGTACTTCCGAGCGCCCTGTCGCTAAGATTGGAGGTTTTGATCTGTGCTACTTGAGCGAAACGCCTGTATATCCTAACGAGGAATACTGGTCATTCCTGCTTATGCGTTATACCGCACCTGAAGTGTTAACAGGAGACGAAGTTGAGTGCGATATGCGCAGTGATGTTTGGTCCTACGCATGCACATCCCTGGAGGTGCTCTGGTTTATTATTACCATGTAGCTTGGTATCTAACTCTTCCCAGATACTTTGGGGAAATCCTCCATACACCTCTAAGAATATCTGGGACGATCTTCTCATACCTCAGGCGGCCATGGATGGCGTTCCCCCGTACGAACGGATAAACTTGGATAGTTTTGAGCGTGTTCTGATGGGCTGTCTGGAGTATGAGCCCAGCAGACGGCCCCCATCAACCAGGTCAATACGCAGCTAGAGTATGCAAATTGCTATTTGCTTAGATTTTTCGAGGGTAAAACTCACATCCAGTCCAGGGGACTTTCTCTGTTCAGCCGCATAGAACGCGAATGGATGCAAGATGAGCTCCTGCCAACTCCACCCCCGTGTGAGTATATCTTCATGAGCTGTTTTTTTAGTACTTAGGCTCGGCCGCATACACAGCATTTCGACCATCACGTGCGTTACTGGGGCCTTCGGCACCAGTTGGGGTGCCGGTGCCCATTCATCCAGTTTTTCCACAACAACCGCCACCTGTCATACCTGGACTGACTCCCACACCCCGACAACGTAGGGAAGGTACTGAATCTGAGAAAAGTCCTGTTGTCCCGCATCTAGTGGACTCAGCGGGATATCCTCCCGTCTTTCCACCACCAGGACCAGGCGTCCCGACCCCTCCGCTTACCATGATGAATGTTCCCCTGCTCCCAACTCAGAGTCCAACAATTCTTCCTGAATCATCTCAGGCTGTCGTTGTTCCCCTCTCTCCAGAAGGTTCCATTGTTCCGGATCAGTTTAATTATTTGCCAAGCGTTCCGCCCCCAGCAGAAGCAGCGCCTGTAGTTGTGCCTCCCATTGCTGTTCCTGGAGCCCCTCCCCCTTTGAAGGTTGAGGCAGAGCGTCCCACAGAGGAGGCAAAGGAGCCTCAGCTGGAACGCGTACAAAGTGGGCTAAGTCCGGAAGCACCCCGTCCTCCACTTCAGCAAGAGGTTCCACCTCAAGCAGATGTCCCACCCCCAGCCGCCCAATCGCCGACGCCGATCTACGAGGGACATCCGCAAGCCATCATTTATAATCACCCCAATAACCCCCCTGCGAAGGAGCAACCGCCTTCAGCACCGGAGGTTGTCCGACTGGGCACCCCGCATTCTTCTCAGTCCACACAGGTTGTTCGCACACAATCTCCTACACTTAGGACAGAGCCACCTCCGGTGGTTCGTCTTTCTGAGGCACGACCTCCACTGACTGCATACGATGATGTGGCACATCCAGCGACGCCTTCAGCGCCAGCGCAAACAGTCATAAATATTGGAGAATCGGTCTCTCATCGAACGGAACCCACACGATTTCCTTCCACACTCTCACGGGCGAGCACGCCGCGTTCTCGTCACCGCGCTGCGACCCCAATTCACCGAGCCACTGATGCCGCGCAACTTAGTGTGTATCCGCCTCCGACTATTACAACCCAATATGAGCCTGGCAGAAGGTCACCACCTAGGTCCAGATCAAGGAGACGGCATCGGACCTACAGTCGAGACGGTCACCGGCGATCCCGCACCCCACGGGACCGTCGTTCGCGTACCCGTTCTACATATTTTTCACGATCACCTCATCGTCCTATTGTGATTGAAGGGAGCACACGTCGTTCGAGATCTCGTTCTGCACGGCGATTGCGTTCGCGTTCGCCAACCACTCGTGACAGGCTGGCAGATGCAGCACTTTCTGGGGCCACTGGTGGTGCAATTAGTCAACTGGCTGACACCTTGCTATACCGTGAACCTTCGCCACGCCCTCACCTCTCCCGTTCTCGTTCCCGTCGCATGTACTCTCGCTCTCGCTCTCCACGTCGTCATCGTCGATCGAGGTCTGCTTCCTTGGGCCGACGTCCTGTTGACTATGAGCACACTGTCCATGTAATTCCTGCACCCACTATAACACGTCCACCTATACCAACTCCCTCTCCCCTAGCCCATTCGCTCTCCGAAAGTGCGCGACCCGCCCCCGCGCCACCTACACCTGTGCGTCCGTCCGTGAGTGGCGGTTGGATTGAGCCTTATGAAGCATTGCCTCCGTCCGTCCGTCCTGAAACCTTACGACGACGTCCCGATATGGTCAGAGTGCGTTCGACTGGCCGCAATTCTCCTAGCATCATCCGCGTTGCTTCACCAGCAAGTCTCCGAGCCCGAGCACGTCCCGATATTGTCAGAGTGCGTTCTACTGGCCGCACTTCCCCTAGAATCATCCGTGTTGCTTCACCAGCAGGCCCCGAGCCCCACCAATGCCCTCGCAGGTCCCTCAAATACATGTTCATACTGCGCCGTTACCTTTTCTTGTTCTTTTCTGCTTTTTCTTTTTCTTTTTCTTTTTCTTCTTTTTCTTCTTTTTCTTTTTTTTTGGCGGAAGTACCCTAGGCTCTCGCAATGCATGTTAGCCGTATGGGTGTTCTCCAGTGGTGTGGTCAGTGGGAGCGTTGGTCCGGAGGCTGAGTGTGGGGCTCCCGGGATTGGGTACCCCGCTGACGTCATTCATGCTTCACAGGATCACAAATCAATTCGACTTCTGGAAGAAGCTCAGAAGGCGATCAATTTCACGAAATTTTATGGACCTTGGCACCTTTCCTTCCATTCGCTCCATCATCATCACCCCTTCTTCATGAATTATATTTCTGGGGGCCGCGTCATTCCATCAAGTGAGGATGCACATTCATTGCCCAAAGCTTATGGAGGCCAAGTTACCCGAGTTGCCGAAGATGCTTGGTGGTGAGGTCATCACCGGTGACGCTGGGTTCCACGAACCCACATGCGCGGCACTTTTCCTCGATGGTCGCTGTGTTACTGGTAGCGGGGTTATCGAAGTTGCCGACATCGACCATCGGAGAACGACCTCTCGATTTCAGTGCAGTCCCACTAATCTCCCGGCCGGTTTGGATCGACAACAACCAGATCGCGATTGAGGATAGCAGTGGAAACATCACCATCCTTGACTTCGGTATGCAACCCCTAAGGGTTGGTACTCTTTCTGGTAGTCCTGGTCCTGCTGTGACCGCTGTGTTGGTTGTACGAGTCCCTCGAAATCTCCACTACGATCGGTACGGGGAAATGGCACTCTCTATTAAACCATCCATTCGGTATCTTCCTCTGGTAGCCCCCCTGAATCCCGTCGTTCGACCACTCCTCTCCGTCACATGCTTGGGTTCTCACCCCGAAGTCGACATGTTGGCGTTTGCGGCGGGAACCACGCTTTCGTGTGGTCAACAGATTCTTGCTAGTTGATCGCTCAATATCTCGTACCAGATATCACGACTTGGGTCCTCAGTTCCGGTGTTGTGTTCCCCTCTGATGTTCCCCTCTGATGTGCCCTGGTTGAGGTGCCCAAAGAACACGAGTTGTCGAAGTTCTGAGTCGAGGCATCTCAATTGAAGAAGCACGCTGTGGTTTATCAAACTTGACTCACTGGTATATACATCGCCAGCTGGCCTGCTGTGCCATGTATTGGGCCCTGTATGCCTCGCCTCCCGCCCATGCAACGTTGGCCTCGCGTGCATGAACAGTGCGTGATGATCTGGGACCAAATACCGTATGCATCGCTATGTGAGCTATAGCGAAATAATCAGGCGCTGATATTCGCCTTGATTAGGCGAATTCGTTGACAGAGTCGGTAGTGGTAAAGTTCAACGGACAACGCGGCGAACCTCTGATCGACAAGTGCATTTCCGAGAAAACCGAGAGGCTTACATCAGAATAGGGGGGGTCACCCTAAGCCCCCACACCAAAAGGACAGTTGTGGCGGGCTCCGGAGTGCTCTTTCGAATACGCCAGCGACGATGTTCTGAACCAGTAACACCAACTCACTGACTATGCAGTACTTTGTCCTTGTCTAGAGCTCGGGTCATGAGCACGGCTCCTAGCGCTACCGCTTGAGGGGATTGGTTTAGATACACCGTAGAGGTTCGAGTCCTATAAATTCGGCCAACTCCGCACATTCAATTCAAGAGAAAAAACAAAAAAAAAAAACAAAACAAAGCTACCAGCGGAATGCCAGCAACAGTGAAGGGTGCATGCCAGACATACATGCTGGCATGTTAGCTCCGCTAGCACACTCCTGAACTATTTGCCAAAGATCGATTGGTAATGCCCTCCTAAATTGACGTGCTATGGTTCAAGCCCTTACTTATACCTGCCGTGTATCGTCATTTCTGCTTCATTACTAAAGTACACCAAAAGGTATTACTGCGCGTATAACAATAGTGTCAATCTTGGGAGGGCGTTTATGTTGGCATTCACGTCAAGCTGCACTAATTTTTTCGATTCCTCTCCATCGATCCTTGCACTCCTACGCTCGACCTCCTTCACAGTCACGGCGAATTTTATTTTTATGACATATTCCCAAAAGGCTAAACAAAGATAAATATACATTCATACAAAATGCAAGGGCAAGCAATTTAAATGTGTAGATTCACAATGCTGTCACGACTGCCAATCAACCCATTCCTGGATTACCTCGCGGCTTGATCGTTCCTTTGGGGGGGCATTCAAGCAGCTTTTGATCTCTGCGCTGTCGATGGGTTGAAGGTTGTCAGTCGTGTAGGCTGGAATCTCAGTCACGAGGATTTCAGTTTCTTTGTCAATTGTATCATATGGTCGCTGGTCCGTCATGATCTTGTAAAGCAGAACTCTCAGATACGATGCCAATCCCACAAGGAACGACGCATACTCACTTCTATCGAAACACAGCCGAACGCCCAAATATCGCCCTCATAGCTACATTGGAATGCGCCACCGTCGTTCTGACGAAGTTCGGGGGCAGTATACCGTATACTCTGGAATGTGATACCTGTATCGCGTAGGAGAGTTTGCAGTCCGTAGTCACATAGCACCGCCGTACCGTCAAATTTGATCAGAATGTTTGTCTACGCGAGAAATTGGTCAAGAGATAAATTAATCAGCGGGGAAGCCACATGTACTATGTACTTACTGGTTTGAGATTACCGTGCACTGTTTTTGCATCATGTAAGTAGTTTAAGCCACAGAATATATCGAAAACCTGGAAGAAATGAGAGTACAACTCTGAGCAGTGTCAGCTCCTAGAACGCACCAATTTCTTGCGATCCGCCTCCGGATTCTCCGCCAGATAGGAGTTGACATTCCCTCTCGGATACCAAGGAGAAACCAGACCAACGTTGAGGTTCCCATCATCATCTAATCTCATCATCCATCCTTGCATTGGCGCGAGATTAGTCCTGGCGAAGTTGTTCCAGTTCTTTCCCTGGGCGAAGAAGTGCTTCGGGAGCATTCAAGCATACTTCTTAGGAAGCTGGGCAGACCAACGTACACGCACAAAGTCTCTGCGCTCCCATTCACCTGTTATGGGGAGCTCTCGCAAGGTTTTTATTCGTACACCCATTCGGTTCTAATGGAGTTTCAGTTCACAAATAAGGTATGCTTCAACGCGAGCCCAAGACGTACCCTCCATCCGTGGTGTAATACCAAATGAGGACTTGTGCGTACTATTTCGTCACTATCGTCAATGCCGTAGTCCTTTCCATTCGCCCAATACGCTGTAGGTTCCCGTAACAATAATTTTACTAGCTCCGGGAACGGTGTAAGGGTCTCCTCGGAAGGGATTCTGATGAACATGATTGAACATATGTGGGTGTAGGATACCCTTGAACCCACCCAAGCCCGTCGAGAAGCGTCTCGATATCAGGACGACGGTGGGGATCATAATCAAGGCAGCCGCTAAGAATTTCCTCCATAGGAGTTGAGGACCTCGGTTCGAAGGGCGATCGTTTAACTTCCACAGCACAAATTACAGCCTCAGTATCCCGAACAAAGTGGTATGGCTGCTTCCCACAGAGGATCTCGGGGAGTATCAGTTCATCCAGACTGCGGACGAGTGGTTAGATTCGCACCTGCATTGCCGTACACCCGAAGGCCCAAACATCGCTGGCTGCACAGCGAAAGGAGGATTCATCCATCAACAATTCTGGGGCCGCATACCGCAATGTCATCGTGTGTGTCTGCCTAAGTATGCGGCGATTAGGTTGGTTGGTGGAGGATGTTCCAAAATCACACAGTCGTGGGACATCGTTTCCGTCGACTACGACGTTGTCCTAAATAGAGATCAGAAACTAGGGAGATAAGACTTAGATGCACGAGCTACTTGACTCACTGGTTTGATGTCACCATGCACTACGGACTGTGAATGCAAGTAGTCGAGACCTTTCGCAATCCCCTGAATCTGCGTCGCACCCACGGTGAAAATTACGCGGACTGGATGACCGTGGTTACACTTACCAAAAGCAAACGCTTATCTCCAGTGGGGCGCCGTACACCAAGGAAAGTTAATATGTTTCCACCTTCGCACCAGCTTGATACCAGGCTCGGAGTCGGGCGTTCTGTATTCTTCGACTCATAGAGGATCCATCCGTAGAATCGGACAACGTTCTGGTGATCTAACGGGCTCCAAACTTGAATCTCATGAATTAATCGCTTTGCTTGTACTAAATCAGTGATCAATAATTTGTGACGTGCAACATACCGAGATGGAATCGTTTTCAATGCACGAGAAATCCACATGTTTGAAGACCTTCACACAAACTGGCACCGTGGTCTATATGATACAATCTGGTGAGTGAAAATTGCAACACCCAGAACTCGGTGAAACGAACTTTTTTGTAGGTACCGCGATAAACATCTCCGTAGCCCCCTGGCACGGGCCTTGCATGATCTCTTTGTACCTCATTATCGAGCCTGCGATAGTTCCTCAGCGTTTCGCGGACGTAGCGGACCACTGATTTCTGGGTAGCTTGCGCTGTCATGTCTGCTAGTTAGAAGTTGTCACTGGGACTGGAGAAATTTTCAGCATACTAAATGATTGAAGGATTGCCAATGTAAGGGAATTAGTGCGTGAATGGCGAAAACGTCATTCGACTAATAAGGAACGTTAGTAAACCCCCACTGGGGCGAAACAGCCAGAGCTTAACAAAGATAGTCTTGAAGCCGCAGCCGATGTACTGGATTATGTAAGTGCTTTGTGATAAGGAACCACGAATTGTCCCCCGACCACGCCCATATTTGCCGCCGCCGTACTATGCCAGTTCTGGGTCTATCTTGTCCTGGAGGGCGAACCCCACAACTATAATTTTTGGGTATGAAAACTGGTCTTCTGTAACTCCCCAAACTCGCCGTTCGACTCAAACCCGTCGTGCCGTGGCGAACATGACTCTCCACGACACGCATTTGCGTTATATCAAACGCTTGGTATCCCAAGCTACCTTCCCACCCCTTAATCCTCGCGAAATCCAGCCAGCTGTGAGTCCTCGTGATCAGTATCTTGTTCAACTTTCACCGAGAAATTCCGGCAATGCTACCTCTGCTTGCAGAGTCAAAAAGTCGTCGAAATCTTATACGACGTTTACTCGCTGACACAGCCTGAGATCAACCGCTTTGTTCAGGTTCGTTAAGCCATTTGGAAGTCGGCAATATAGCACCAGTATCCACCACTTAGCTATACTGATAGCGTGTCGGACAACAATTACGTATCTTACGTGATTCAGAGCATGAGAACATCGTAAGGTTTGTAGGATGGATGCTGCCGGAACATACGAGTTCACTTCGTGTGGACGCCATCTCAATGAAATACGAGGGCGGCGAGGTGATGACCTTTCTTCGGACACAGGAAGATAAATCTCATCGACAGAAATTGGCCCTAACACAAGTTCTCGGGGTTTCGAAGGGCCTAGCATACCTGCATTCCAGGGGGATCATTCATGGCAACCTTAATCCTGTTCGTCCGATGCCATCGCGAGAATCCCTCCCTAACACTGTTCTTTTAGAGGAAAATTTTCGTCGATTGTACTCCCGAGGGTCCTGTTGCTAGGATTGGTGGCTTTGATTTGGCTTATTCTCTCAGGGAAACACCTATCCTTCCCAGAGCAGAACATAGGACGTCTAGGCTTATACGTTATACTCCACCCGAATTGCTGATCAGAGACGGAATTGAATGTGATGTGGGTGGTGATATCTGGTCCTTCGCATGTACATCGCTGGAGGTACTCCAATCTATTTTTACCATGCGGCTTGATGTCTGATCCCTCCCAGATACTTCGAGGAGAACCTCCATACAAGACTACTTGGGACGACTTGCTTGTCCCACGTGTAGCCATGAAACATGTTTCCCCATACGAGTGGGCGGACTCAGATGATGTAGAGCGTGTTCTGATGGGATGTCTGGATTATGAACCCGGTAGACGACCTCCCATTGACGAGGTTGATGCACGACTAAAGTACGCAGATTAATTTGCCTCTTTTGGAGGAAAACCCACGTTCAGTAGGCAAGCAGCTACCGGGGAACTTTCATTCCCCATTCACGCAGACATAGAACGTGAACTTATGCAGGAAGATGAACGGAACCTCACCGGAAAAATACAATCGGAGCAACTACTAGCACTTGAAGGTCGATTCTCGTATCCGTACAAGGGGATTTATAAAGACGTACGTGCATGCGAATGCGGATTTGTGCAGCGGGGTGCAGTCCAGGTGACGGGTCAATCCTATTCCAATAGAAGCCAGTCTGCATCCAACAGATCAATCTCTTGGATCCGCGAGCCCTGAGTGATGCCATGCGTGTATGTTCACGTTCATTTCTTCAAAGTCATCCTGAACTGACAGGAATGACGTTCGGAAGGCCTTGAAGAGGCAGATACGTTTATGGCGTCGATTGATACATGCCAACATTGAGAGGCTCCACGGATGGGTGCTATCTGCAGGAACTGAACCAGTAATCAGCTTTATCTCCGCTTGGTATGCTCACCGCAATGTGATGGAGTATCTGCGCCAACACCCAGATACAAATCGTCGCAAGATGGTGAGATATGCATTGCGAGAACAGGGCAACAAGTGACTGACTTCTTGCCATCAAGGTGTATGACATTGCGCAGGGTCTTGGCTATCTTCACTCGAAGGAGGTCGTACACGGAAACATTAACCCGGTACGCCGGCTATACTGCGAGCTCCCCCTATAGTATTTAAGGTCAGGTTCAGGAAAATGTTGTAATAGGGGATGAAGGCAATCCCCGCTTACGTGGATTCCAGTTCTCATACGATCGTTTGGACCAATTACTTCCCCCCGACATCCATAGTGGCCTCAGTCCCCGTTTTGTATCACCCGAATTCCTCAATGGCCTCACATTAATCCCGGATCAAGGAAGTGATGTTTGGGCTTTCGGTTGTGTCACTGTAGAAGTAATTCGGATTGTACCCCCGCCGCCAAGTACAGACGTTTATCCCTTCCCGCAGATACTCATCGGTGAACCTCCTTATTCCTACCTACCCGACGTTAGGGTTCCTGTCGTTGCCGCAAACCCCAGAAGGCCTTATGAGTGGGGAGATCTTGATGAATTTGAAAGCGCTATTGCTAAATGCCTGGCATATCCTCCGGATAATCGAATAAGCATTAACAACGTCGGTGATATTTTGGAGTGAGTCCCTACCAAATAATTAGATAATTTTCCATTTACTCCCATCAGATCGTGGTTAGCAGCAGAAGTTACCTCTGAACCACCTGATATCTCCAACAACGTCAATGGTATGGCATCAATTTGCAAATTTTGAGTTGGCCTGAGTTATGGCATGTACAGATCCCCAACGAAGTCCCATTTACCGGAGCGGGTTTTCCCCGTTGCGGGAAAACAGCGACCTAGGTTCACAGGAGCCATCTAGCCTTCATCCAACTCGCCCTTTCTTGAACACCATGGACCATAAAAACAAAAGAAAACGATCATCCACCTCTGAGTCCGAGCCTCGGACACTAAAGTTGCTCTCCTCGGCGCCATCTGTCAGTGATCAGGGACAATCATTGGCCGCACTTCCACAGGCTCCCCCCTCTCAGCTCCATTCTATCCCCTTCCAAACCGATGACAATAGGCCTCATGATTGGCACAGCGGAGCGCATGCCGTGGCTCCCGGACCCGGCGATTATTACCCCCTAAGCAATGTGGCGGCACCGCTTTACGGTCATTCGCCGCTGTCTCCCCAAAGCGGCGACATTCCTCGTGGTTGGCGCCCGAGGCTAATTGGATCCTATCCCAGCTCACAACCCTTTGAACGTAATCGGTGGGATCGATCGACGGAATCTCATCCCGAAATTCCCTAGGTTATGCCACCGTGGTCACCTTCTGGCGGTCAGATGTCAATAGTATCAGCCGATCAAGCACACTTGTCCCCGGATTATCTGCTACCATCACGCCCCCCGCATTCATCTCCTGGGTCTTCGGACCGATTGCCATGTCCCTCCCCGGTTCCGAAGCCCATTGTGATACTCCCAACCCTTGGGGCCCCTACGACAATAATGCGCGCGTCCCCACACAACTTGAATTTACCTGTGCCCTGTGTCAGAACGGACTCCATCATCGTCGGATGGCAAAAAGAAGAGTATCATTAGTGCCACTGGGCTCATTCTCTGAACCGCATCCACCGCTCTCAAATTTTCTCCCATCCCGTCCCTCCCTACTTTCCAGACTTGTTTCTGACACTACTTCAGGTTTACGAAGTTCGGCTTTTCACAACTGGTAATGATATATTCCTGATGTTTGTTTCATTCGCGTGGTAATAATGAAACTCTCGAAGGGCTGAGTGATGATGTGAAAAATACATATAACATCGTTCTGTGCCCCTCCGGCTATGGACGGGACACATTCCCCCCGAAGCAATTTTTCCACTCAAAGACCCACACTTGTATCTGGCTGCCGTTCCGATCTTTTATTCAGACCCGAAAAATCGTTAACAGGGCCCTAGAGGACCAGGTCAAGAGGGAAGCCTTTGAAGAAGATATTCACGGCAGGCAAAGCATAAATGGCGTGAGGACGTGTATTGGTGAAGCTCTCTCCCAGTTTGCGGTTCGCAAGACCTGCATTTATACCGCTAGAGTTCGACTAATAGAGTGCCCCTTAGGCGGCAACAACTTTAAGCCTTCCAAGCGTCGGTGGACTGTTCCCCTTTTTTTCATTGATTCTAAACTCTTCAGCTCAGTGCTGTTCAGATGAACTTTCAAAACTGCCCAGAGCAGACGCTGAGTGGCATCGCGCGAAGAGTAAGTCAGAATGCCTCGAAACCACAGGGGACCAAATTCGCAGCTCAATTCTCAATCACCTGAGGAATACTATGGACCGATTTATCTGGCTGCGTGGTTCACCCGGGACTAGGAAAACCGCGATATCTATGAGTGTAGCTTCCGCGCTTGACAAGGAGCGCACCCTTGCAGCATCTTTCTTCTGGGATAAGAACCAAGAGGGAACAGGACTCGATTTGATTGACCGCTTCCCCTCCACCCTTGCCCGACAGCTTGCGGCATTCAACGCCGAGTATAAGAGCTCGCTTGTCAGGCGACTTCGGGCCCCTTCATTCAGCAGAATTGGTGGTTCTGCTGCGGAGAAAGTGAAAGCTTTGATCATCAACCCTATGCGTGAACTCGAAGGTGTGGGAGTCCAGGGGCACTCCGCTCCTTAATGAGCCTCGTTCTTCAACTTGATGCGCTACCTCCGACCTTTGGCATACTTGTTAGTTCCCGTCCTGAGCCACAAGTGCTTTCCGCTTGGTATAGAGCCGAAGCGCGGGATCCGCAGATTGTGATCGCTCATGAAGGGTTTCGTGGGATGAGAGGTTACACACGATCCGTCTTATGGTCGAGGATGGGCTTCGTCATTGTATCATAAGCTCGCAGTGGGAGCCATCTGAGATGGATCTCACTTCGTTCACCTCGGGTTGCCGTAGACTGCCCATCATTGCCTCAATCCGAATACGTGAAGTCCTTGTTGGGACTCGCCGCGGTTCTAGCCTAGAAATGGAGTTCGACTACTTTCTCAATCTCAGAGATACGCCTCAAGATCTCAACCAGGAATATTTGCGAATAATGTGACGTGCTTACGTGCGGAATTCCTCAGGCATCATTCGCCCACACGTAGCAGAGAATTACCGCGAGATAGTCGGGACGATCACTGTGGCACACGAATGCAGCAGCGTCTACGACATATCACAGCTCCTAGGAATCCATGTCGATGAAGTGTACTCGACGCTCGAGCCCATTAACCCAATAATGAATGTACCTTCAGACGACACAAAGGTTGTCAAGTTCTATCATGCAACGGCGAAGGAATTCATCGCAGGAATTCCCAACGACGAGGAAGCGGACAAAGTCTTCATTAGCGACGCGAAAAGATACTTCCTGGGGTTACGACTCCTTCGGTTCGTGAATGGTTTCGTTGAAAGGAAGTTGCAGTCTCTCCAAAATGAGGGTTGGCCCCATCACATCGAATACGCATTTCAGTATTTGTTCCAACACTTGGACCCTTCGCTTCTCTTTTCGCAAGAGTCTAATGAATTGCAGAGAGAATTTGAACGATTCTGGACACATAATTTGGTTTCGTTCTTCTCAGCGGGACCTGAGGCAGATGACTAAACCTAATAACGCCCCATAGTGGAACGGAAAAAGTCACGTGCACAGCCACGAAAATTAGGAACAAATATTTCGAAACCAACTGGATATGTATTTCGTGAATATATTACAATATCATAAATAAATGATCATGTGGGGATAGTCCAATCTGAATTGCTCGACTCTGAATCGAATCTGAGCATTACATCGCCATCTCAGCCTAGTCAGCCACCTAATGACGGCCTATAGAGGGGGGGCCGTTTGGCCTTCAGATGGGCCTAAAAGGGGGTATTTACTAGTGGATGTCCTGGACATCCTGGTGAAGACTGATCCATTCACCAGGACGTCCCCAGGACGTCCTAGGATGTCCTAGGATGTCCTGGGATGATTCTATAATTCAATCAAATTCAATCAAATGCTTCTGTGATTCAATCAAATTTGTATTATTCAGGGTAGACATTCAAAACATAATGCCGCAATTGAATCTGATTTCCCATGACAATCCTCAGGCTGCTCAACTGTCTGTGCACAATGCTGGCCACTTGTCACGGCCCCGCAAAGTCCCCGCCCCTCTACCACTTTCTGCACCCCCATTCTTACGCCGTTACTCGCGCCCGTTAATCTCGCCATTGCCCATCACTTAGCGGCGCCGATAGTGGTTCCCGTTCTACGGCCCCGTAGCAGCGCCTCCTTCGTTTTCCCGCCACCACTTGGGTTCCTCAACCATTCGGCCGGTATCGTTTTATTCTATTCACTCGCTTAACTAACTAGCGGTTGTTATGGTCGCCGTTGATCCGCTCCTTATGGACATTCCTTATTGACAATTGATTATTCCTTTATTGATATTTGATTTATACGTATATTGACATTCTGACCCGCGCGCCTAGATTGTCGGCTTATCCTTTCTGCCTCCCAACTTCGCCGTTCTCTGTTCCATTCATCTCTTCTGTTCCATTACCCTGGTCCTCATCGCTCTTTAGTTCTGTCGTACTTATCATCTCGTTCCCGTCCCGCGCCGGACCGACCGGTCCCTTCTCTGTTCTCCTTTCCTATTTATACTTGTAGTTTACTGTCGATGTACCTCAGTTCGAATATCGACTAGAATTCCCCCCAAGTACTTTCATCTTAAGTTCGCCCCTCAGCTTCATCCCGCTTAAGTCAACGTCGCCGCAAGGTCTTTCCCGCTAACGTGAAATACGGGACAGCCTAGAACGCGTGGCGCAACGCTCTGGCAAAGTCGTTGAAGCCGAAGTCCCAACCCCCTCGACGCCTTGCAACGGAGTAGCTCATTAGCTAAGTGACCACTTACGCCGCCGTACTCCGCCCCGCTTCCCGCGATCCCCTCGAACATAGTTTCTGACACCACTGTCTGAAGGGGTGTCAACACTGTTTCCCACGTCCCCAACACACTTTACGCAGATGGATAGCCCCTTTGAACAGCTTCCAGAATATATATTTTGAGACTGAATTGACCAATAAATCATCGAGAAAAACGCAAAATACTTTTTTGGACACGAGTCTTTTGGGTTAGTGTGGCTGTCCACCTCATGTCTGTGCACAGTGCTGGTCATTGTCCGGAGGGGTGTCCAGACTGTTTCCCACGGTGTCAACACACTTTGCGTAATTGGATAGCCCCTTCAAATAGCTTCCAGAATATATAATTTGAGACTAAATTGACAAGCAAGTTATTGAGAAAAATGCAAAATACTTTTTTGGATGCGAGTCTTTGGGATAGTGCTTGGGCCACTAAATTTCACTGACAGTCATCGAGTCATCGAAATTCACGGGTCACTGATATCCCAAAGACTCGTGTCCAAAAAAGTATTTTGCATTTTTCTCAATAACTTGCTTGTCAATTTAGTCTCAAATTATATATTCTGGAAGCTATTTGAAGGGGCTATCCAATTACGCAAAGTGTGTTGACACCGTGGGAAACAGTCTGGACACCCCTCCGGACAATGACCAGCACTGTGCACAGACATGAGGTGGACAGCCACACTAACCCAAAAGACTCGTGTCCAAAAAAGTATTTTGCGTTTTTCTCGATGATTTATTGGTCAATTCAGTCTCAAAATATATATTCTGGAAGCTGTTCAAAGGGGCTATCCATCTGCGTAAAGTGTGTTGGGGACGTGGGAAACAGTGTTGACACCCCTTCAGACAGTGGCCAGCATTGTGCACAGACATTGAGTTGGACAGCCACACTAACCCAAAGACTTGCGTCCAAAAAAGTATTTTGTGTTTTTCTCGATAATTTATTGGTCAATTCAGTCTCAAAATATATATTCTGGAAGCTATTCAAAGGGGCTATTCAACTATGTAAAGTGTGTTCAGACCGTGGGAAACAGTGTTGACATCCCTCTAGACAGTGGTCAGCATGCGCACAGACCATGGGATGGACGAGTATGGCATTCCGGGACAATTTGCAACCATTGAATCAAACTGAATTAGGACATCTGAGGACGTTTGCAACAAATGAATGAAACTGAATGGCCAGGATGTCCTAGGATGTTTATAGTGAAAAAGGCCTTTTAGGCCCCATGCAAACGTCCTGAGGTCCCCCCTATAAAGGCCCACATAGTGGTTGTCCAAGGTGACCCAATACCCAACCCAACCCAACCCAATGCCCAACCCACTAACCCAATGCCCAACCCACCAACCCAACACCCAACCCACTAACCTAATGCCCAACCCGCGTAAAATATCAGCCTAGCGGCGGTTGTGACTTATAAACACATGCATGAATCGAACCAAAACCCAACAGACTCAGTAGAACGGGATCAATGAACTAGCCATCAGGCCAAGACACCATCAACATAATTTGTAGATATGCTTCTACTTCTATCACAAATATGGAAATCTGGAATCAAACTAATTTCAAGATTTTCGAGAAAAATTGTCGGGCACGTGTCAGTGCATGTGACTTTTGTCCGCTCCACTATGGGGCGTTACTAGGATTGCTAGGCAGATGTTCTGTCGAAATTGTATCCGGTGCAACTACTGGACTTATCCGGAGCTCCAATTCAAATGGCTTCAAATCCAGGTCACGTGGCAAGGACATAAAATCATGGACAAGCCTGGTATCGAACCCAGGACCTCTAGTGTGCATCCATACACTACTCGCCCTTGAGCCATGCCGGTATAGGTTGTTAAACTCTATACTATTGGGAACATATTATATTCTCCAACATGTTCCTCACGTTTGGGATCAATTCAAGGTGAACCCCAATTGAATTGTATTTCGAGTATTTCAATGGCGTGACATCACTGTGCATCGCAGAATCACAAGTCAGTCTCCATCGTCCGTGCCACTCGGGATCTTTTTAAGTGGTGAACTCCTTGGGATCCGTCCTCCCATTCACTTCAACTGTCAAAAACCCGGAATGGAAGAGGGGTAAATGCGTGAGTCCGAATGCAGGCAGGGCTCAACTAGAGGGGGGTCCGAGGGCTCTGGTAGTGAACCGAAGCTTCTCAGGGAGCCCAGTTCTGCTGGATGGTACAAGAGGCTCTAAGAAGGACGCGGCCTCAGCGACTCGGAGGGAGCGCTGTGCCTCCGTTACATCTCAGTTAGTCCTTGTATTTCTTATGTCTGAGGTGTCTTGTAGAACAGGAACAGGATTCACTCAGAGGGACTTTGGGTGGCATTTTAGTCAAGATTAGAACTGAGGAACTACAGGTTCTAATCTACGGGTATTTATAAAGGAGAATGGGGAGGACTTAGTCAAAGTCTGAAATGACAAATGGGACAACACCGAAAGGTACTGAATGATACCGAGAGGTACTGAAAGGTCCCGAACGATATTTAAAACGGGGAACCGAGGTGTCGGGCCAAGGAGGGCGGAGTTGGAGGCCGGAAAATGAATGGGGAAGACAAATGGGTTAAAGGGGGTTAGCCGACTGAATGGTAGTAAGAAGGTAGTCGTGCTAAGAATGGAAGGTGACTAATAAGTGATAACGTGAGGGAGATCACCGAAGGATGCGGGTAGCTCCGAGAGCGGAGTTGCATATCTGAAGGATGTTAGGTGACTCCAATAAATGAAATGGGTGGGGGAATGGTTTAAGGGCATGTCATGGGATATTGGAGGTCCGTCAGGATATCGGAGCAAATCCAGGGTCTCCGAATGTTCCGACTCGGGACCGAGCTTCCGGGATGGGAGTGGCCAAGGTTCAGTGTGTCGCAACCAGACCGGAGCTGAGACAGTCAGGAGGGAAGGTGACTTGGGGAGTGGGGAGTGTCAGGGACGTGTCCGGGGTAGAGGGGGTCCGGATGTATCGCCCGGCAGAAGGGCCCTCACGGGGTGCAAACTGGGCGTGCATGCTGGTGGGTCCGGGAAGGGACAGCAGTCCCTGGCCACTTAGACTGAAGTGGAGAATGTGTTATTGTTATTAAAAGGGAAAACTATACTACTTACCTGAAGTGGAGAATGTGAGAAGAAGGTTACTTCTTCGGTTCCCACTTCAGGTACATTTATGTACATGCAGCTTGAGTCACATGACGAGTGCCACATCACCCTCGGAGACAGCCGCAGGCATCCGGGTATCCCTGTGGGGGATCCCGAGAGCGTCCGCTGCATGCGCGCGTGCTGGGCACAGCGGGGAGCCGTCCGGGGTGTGTGGGCCGGATGGGTCAATAGTACATTGATACAAAGGAGGGTGGTCCGTGTAGATAGAAGGAAATAAACAAGAAAAGGAAGATGAGAGGAATGAGATAAAGAAAGGGGAAGAAAGAGAGAAAGGAAAGAGGAGGAGAGACAGAGGGAGGAGGAGGGAGAGGGTTGGACAGTGGGGAGCGGGTGTGGTGTGGCCGGGTGGGTCCGGGTGGACCCAGGTCAGGCGGGTGTGCCCTGACATCACCCCCTCCTTAAGCTGCTTCGCCTCGAAGTGGTCAGGTGGTTCTCTCTCTCTCTCCCCGGGGCTAGGGGATGCGTCCTGTGGAATTCCTCGATCCGGTCGGGGGCATGGGCTAAGTGGTCCCACTGGAGCCACTGGTTCTCTGAGCTCGGCCAGCCAACAAATTTTTACCA